TTTTTAGAAAATCATGCTTTGAAATTCTTCAATTTTACCTTAAATATTGAGAGGCGTGCTGCACGCAATTGAAAAAAAATTTCCTCAGCTGCAAACCGCAACTCGTCATTTTAATTTTAAAATCCGCAATTGCGTGCAGCCTTGATTGAGAGCCGTGCTGGGGCTCAGGCTCCTCCTGGCCCTGTTTCGACTCCAGGGTTTTAAAATCTCGGCTTCGATTCCTACTCATGGTTGCTGGAGCTAGCTCCAGGAGCTCCCCCTCCAAATCTTGGGTCCTGTATCGACTCCAGGGTTTTCAAAATCTTAGCTCCTATTCTTACAAATGGGTGCTGGATATGGCTGGGTATGGCTTAGCTATCTCCACGGAACCATAACCTACCTTGATTGAGATCCTTCCCCCTCCCATTATTTTTCTAAAAAAATTTTCTCTTATCTTTTTTGTGTTTTTAACTTTTTCTTTTGTTTTATCATTCTTCTCTATCAACCCATTCTTTCTTTATTTAAAAATAAAGAGAGGTTGAAAGAGGCGAGAAAAAACAGATTAATCACTCCACAGGCTGATTAATTTCGCAACATTTTTCTTTCTTCTCTTCTCTATTATATTACCAGTCATTTCATAAATCATTTAAAAAACAATTTTAAATTCGAATACATATTCCTTTTTTATTTAGAATTTTTTTAATTTTACCTCTCCTTCCAATACCGATATATTTATTTTTAAGAGTAGGCAGTCTTTAAAAAATACAATGGTTTTTCTCTCATTTTGGGAAGGGTATTAAGAATAGGTTGATGATTTTCTGATAAAGCCGAATCTTGTTAGGATGTTATAGGACGTTATATCTGAGGGTCAACCTTTGGAACCAAATTGTTTAAACCTTTCTTTGTAATAAAAAAAGAGGCACGATATCGGGAATATGTGATATCGAGTCCCCGAAAGTTGGGGAATTTGAGAGTTACCTTGAAATTCTCCGCCCCCTCTGCCTGCCCGAAAATTTTCCTTGTGGCCTCCCTCCTCCCTCCCCGTTGGGCCCTAATATCGAGATTAAATAAATAAAAATCTGCCTCTTATTTTATCAACCATTGGAGAGGAATCTAATCAAGGGGGAGGAAGCCATCGGGCAGGAATGAGAGTCAGCCCTTGGAAACGAACCTCCGATGTTGTCACTGTTTTTGAGCTCCCAGGGATATGATAAAATAGAAAAATAATTTTAATTAGACACATTGTCCAATTTATATATTTTCCCCCAATTTACTCGTCAAATTTAAAACAAATTGCGCATCATTTTAATGTCATTTTATGTTTCTTATTTACCGATTTTTGGTTTGTTTGGTCCTTGTACTAAAAATCTATTTATTTATTTTACCTACCAACTTGCTCATTTTATTTGTTTTACTGTTCAAATTAGCTTTCCCCTCATTTTTCTTTTTTTCCTCAATATTTACATCTGTTTACATGATGTAAATAAAAGAAATATTGACATATTTTAATTTACAAAAATATTTTATTTTTAATTCCTGAATAGTTTAATCCGTTTCTTATCTTCTTAGAACGTCTCCAAGCACGAGAAAGGGAGATATCTTGGAACTTGGGATATTTAAAAAATAGGGGTATTTTTAGGAAGGTAAGAGTTAAGGTTTAACCCCACCTGTCAAGAGTCGAACTTGCGATCTTCTGAAGCACTTTCCAGGCTTTTCCCTTTTAATGTTTAGACCTGCAGAGGTTGAAGAGGAAGAGGAGGCCCTTGGCAGATGCTAGGCCATTGGGCTTTTGTTAAGTCTTTTGTCCTATTAGTTCGCTTAATCCCCGTACTAAACATTCTAAATGCTTCCAGTTAATAAGACTGATAAGACAGATCTGTGATAAGTCCGGGAATTAGGTGTTTAAGAAAGAAATTGAAAAAAAATTTTTAATTTTTCTTTCTTAAATTTGTGACTTGCGCAATCAATTAAACGACTCGCGCAGTCAAAATAAAAGAAAAGAAAGAAAAGTTTTAATTCTTTAAATAAAGAGTTAAAATAAAGAGTCAAGTAAAAGAATAGATCAAAACACATTTTAAATAATCGTTGATTTTATTATTGGCCCTAAGCCAAAAAAATTTTTTGTAAAAATTTTAGGAGGGGAATTTTAGGAGAAGGAAAAAGGAAAGAATTTAATCGAATAAATTTCTAGAGCTGTCCCAGACCGAAAATTTGTCAAGACTCAAGACCAAAACTACACCCCAAGATTTATATTATTTTATTATTGGCTATTTTTTTTCCTCCCTATTTTTCCTATCTACACAAGACCGAAAAAAACCCCAAGAAAGGTCTTGGAATCAAGACTCAAGACCAAGAGTTTTGGACAGCTCTATAAATTTCCCAATTTCCCAATTATTCTTTCTCTAATTAAAATTAATTTTTTTGCTGTCTCATTTACCTACCTCCCTATTTTTCCTATCTACCAAAAAATTTTTTTAATTATCTATTAATTCTTCTTTTAATTCTAATTTTAATTTTTTCTCTTATTTTTCTCCACGTTTTTACGTTTTACGCCCGGCTGGTCCTAAAATATATACTCCTTTCTTTAGTAAAATTCACCACCAAATTCCACACCTTCCCTCTTTTCAATCCATTTTTGGTATGAATAAAAACGGAAAACCCTTTCTATTTTAACAATGCCTCTTCTCTTTTATTTTAAAAAATCAAGAGAATCAATCTCTCCCAATTTCCCTCAAATAGAAACAAAAACAATTTATTTAAAAAAAATAAATTTCGTAATGAGGGAAGACTCTCGACTTTTTTCTTATTTTTTATTTTTTTTTAAGACGTAAAAATTTTTCTTTGGTCCTTATTTTCTTGAAAATTTTAGAGAGAATTATCCAAAAATAATTAGAATTTATTTAATGGAATTTTAGAGATCATCTTTTTGTTCCACTAAAATTCTCAAAAATTTTAGGAAAAATTAACCATTAAATTTTAATAAGTTAGTAGGTATTTTTAAAATTTTATTGACTTAATTCCGGTTTATACTTCAGACCTGAGGCAACTTCATTATAACCAAGGGAGAGTTTTACTGATAAACCAGCTTTTTTAGTACGATTAAAATCAGAATCGAGTCTCTAGAAATTTTTTTAATAATTTATTATTATTTCTAGTAAATTTTCCCTAAGATTGAGATTGCACTAAACTCGATTCCGATTTGTAATTCACGCCAAAAAGGGTCTAGCTGGTCAGTAAAACTACTTACATCCATAAGAGTTTCACTCTTGCATTTTTTTTTGTTTTTTGTTATTTTTTAAGCTAGCTTTTATTGTTCTCATTTTCTTCTTAAAATAACAATATCTACCTTTCTTAAAAGTTCAATCCATTTTTTTCCGGATTTTTCTTTCAAAATTAATTTATTCAATACTTCCCTCTACTACATAAAATCCCCCGCTCACATTCCTCTACTAGTAAATTTTATTTTTATTTTATTATTCTTATATAAATTTTCGAATTGCGACCCCATTCCCGTATATTAGTGCAAATGAATAAACAAATCAAAAATATAAAAAATTTATCCAATGCCTCATTACACTGCGCAATGTATATCTAGTAGTTATAATTCCCGTTTTCTCTGTTCTATTTATTTAAATATAAATAAATTATTAAAATTATTTGAAACATATTAATAAATTTATAGGAAACCGACGAAAATTTTAAAAAATCTCAAAAAACAATTTTAAGAAATCAGATATTAACTAAATTTTAAGCATAATTCTTGTCCATTTTCTGAGTTATACAAACCGTATATGCTCAAATAATTACCATGGGTAATTATTGCTCCAACCAAGGGTGGGTCGGAAGAGATAGAGGTGTCGGAAATCGGAAATCAAAATTTTTTCGGAACTCGGAATTCCGACCTACTTCTGGTTCCAACCTTTCGATCGGGAGGGTAATTAGTTAAAAGGGGGTAATTTTAGTTAAAAGGGGGTGATTTTTTATTTGAAGAAAAAACACTCGGGGAAGGGTAATTGTTTCAACAGCTAGAGTGAGTAGTTACTCGAGGGGCGAGAGGGGGCAATTATTTGAGAGGGGGAATTATTCGAGCATATACGGAACTATTTTTAAATAAAATACCTATCATGATTTTTTTTCCAGACCCTCTGGGCAATTTCGCAATCTTTATTTGATAGAAGATTAGCGATAACTGATTCTTCTGCTTCTTCAACATCCTCATTTTTGGAAGAATTCGAAGACGACTTTAATTTTCAAATAATGGAAGAAGACAGCAAAAAAGAAGATAAAAAAGAGGAAAATGAGAGAATTAAGAAGAGAACGAAGAAACGGAAAAATAAAAAAGGGGAAGGAGAGAAAAATTCTTCATCGTCTTCATCTTCTTCCAGAGAGTCTTCTCTTGAAAGAGAAGAAGATGGGAAGAAGCCTTCTTTAAAAATAGACAGTAATTTGTTACACACAGACACGATGCCTAAAATAACAACTGAGGAATTGGGGAAAAGAGAGGATAAGATAAAAGATGAATCTGAAGAGAAGGTGATCTAAGAAATTATCTTTCTTGGTTATTTAGGAGGCCTGAGGAATAGGGAATTACTCTGAAAACTCTGTAATTACACTAAATTACTCTGAAATTTTTTAAATTAAAAATTTTTAAATTTTTAAGAACTAGGTTTCCAAAGGATACCCACAGTCGAAATGAATCATTTCGGATATACAAGATCCCGATCTATTTAAACTTCCTACAGGGAATATGTTAGTAATACAAGACTAGGGTTTTGGATCAGGATCTGTAAAAAGTCCAGATATTCGGGATCTTCGTTTCAAATCAGGAAATAGCCCAGGATCTGACAACCCTATATATATGACTGAGAAAATCCTTCCTTCTCCATAAATTTCTTAAACTCAAGTGAAGTCATCTTCTTTCTAACCTCCATTTAAATTAGATTATTAATTAAACAATTGTCTAATTAAAGATAGCAACTCCAGAGTCACCCCCAATACAAATAGAAACTATTGGTGTAAGAATGGAGCGTAGACAACAACAGGCTTTAGGAAATGGACAACAACCCCAACAACTTCCTCCACCCCCACCACCCTTTTTTATGTTTAAACCTGCAGAGGTGGAAGAGGAAGAGGAGGAAGATGAAAATCAACCACCACTCTTTGGACGTTTGGATGCTATAGCTGAGGTGGATTTTAAGGGAAATTTTTTTTAGCTGTCAAAAAATTTCAAAAATTTCAAAAAATTTTTGAAAAAAATTTCAAAAAAAATTTTCAAAAAATTTTTTAAAAATTTCAAAAATTTTCAAAAAAATTTTCAAAATTTTTTCAAAAAATTTTCAAAAATTTTTCAAAATTTCAAAAATTTTCCCAATAATTTTTCATTTACAAAAAACCCTTTAAAGGAGGATAGCGACGAATTAAGAAGTGCCTCATCCAGTCGTGCCTCAACTGCTCGTTTCCATTTAAGGCCTAGTGTTTCCCCCGAAATTAAAGAGGAACTAAAGAAAGAAGGGGATATTGAGGATATTGAAGGAAATAATCTTCCAAAAATACCTTTTAAATTTTTATTCGAAAGACAACAAAGTGCTGGAGGTTCAAGTCAAAGTTCGGTTGCTAAAGTTGTCGAATTGGATAATTCTGAAGACGAGGAAGACAAAGAAGTTGGTTGTTTAAAGAAGCTTTTTTACATGAACTTAAGGGGCCTTCAGCTGTCAAACCTCGATAGAGTGACCCCTCGATTTAACAAACCTCTCGAAATAACAGCCTTTTCATTAGTACCTGTTGAGATTTCTTTCTAAAATAACTCTCGATTTAATGAACCGCTACATATAGTGTTACAGATTCTGAGAACTCCCAGGATCACTGGATCCGATATCCGTACCGAAAATTATCGGATATTCGGACATTTTTGGATTTGGGTACCTGGATCAGCTAAACCTAAATATACCTAACAGACCTTCACTTCGATCCCTTCGAGTGCGTTATATCAGGATTAGAGTGTTTAAAAATTGTAACTAAATCTCATCTCGGTCCGATACTCACTAGTGATCATAAAATATACTTCTTAAAACCCATTTAAACTCAACTTTTCAAATTTTTAAAAATCCTCATTTTATCCACCTCCTAGACCGACTGAAAATTTTTTTTCAGCTTCTAGGGCATATAACATCCTCTCAATAATATTCTTGGGATTAAAAAAAACTAAGTTTAAATTTAAGAAAATTAGTCCAAAAGTGCCTCGACTTGATTTGGAAGGTGTCAGTTTAGAAAATAGTGAGGCAGAAGAAGACAACGAACAAACAGCACGTGACGGTATTACTCCAATTTCTGATACCGATACAATTATAATTAATGAAGAGGAAGGGGAAGAAAAAAATAAAAAAGTTACTTTTGAAGATGAAAAAGAAAAAATATTTGAAACTAAAAAAGCTTTGGAAGTGGAAGATGAAGTAAAGCGGGAAGAGGTGGGGGGAATAAATAATTTAATAAAAAAAATTTTTTTGGAGTTATGGTACTTCCTCTCATTTTGGAAATTTAAGAGAATTATTTAGTTGTCGAGTAGAGATCGAGCTGGACCAAGGCCTGGGTTTTTTCTGTACACAGAGTCTAGGTCCAGGCATTTCTTGACCTTCCTGGGTTTTTCTTGGGCCAGGATTTTTCCTGGACTACAGGCACAGGATCCGGCTCAGGTCAATAAATCAAACTTTAGAGTTCAGGAACAGGTCCAGGCTTTTCAAAAATCTCTCTATTGTCGAGCTCTTGAAATTTTTTTGTTCCTTTGGAATTTTTTCTATTTTTGGAAATCTCTTAAATTTAGTCTCCAACAAATCTGGTCAATCCGTTATTTTATTACATTTACTATACTATACATATCTCTTATCACTTTTCTATCTATCTCTTTCTCTTGTGGACATTCCCTTCCAGACGATTCATTTAAAATAGTGAAAAGTCCACAACCATTTTTTCGCGGAATTCTAAAAATTCAAAATTTGAATTTTTATTTTTGCGGATTAAATTTGCGGACTTTTTTTAGTTTGCGGACTTTTTTGTTTTGCGGACTTTTTTTAGTTTGCGGACTTTTGCGGACTTTTAATCATTTAATTTTCCATTTTATTTTTTTAATTTATAAGAGTCTAATAATAATTGTCCATTATCTTATTATTTAATCCAAAAATGACCTTCACCCTCTCAATTATTTTTTTTTCTTCCACTGTGGGATCCCCTTATTCATCTTCCTTCTGATTATATCATTTTCTTCCCTTATTCTTATTTTTTTTAAAAGTCCAACTACAATATTCCTTCCAAAATCGATTCCCTCGGGTGCGGACAATAAAAATCGCGAGAATTAAAAAATATGCAGACAGTTCCTCGTCACTGACCAGCGGATATTGAGGGGAAGGTTGACCTTTTTTGGAGGTTCTCGACGAATAGTACGCACATTTTTGGGGGTTGAGGGAAGTAGAAAAAAAATGAAGAGAGAAATGAAAAATGGAAGAAAAATTGAAGAAAAAAAAAATGGAAGAAAAAAAATTGTCGAGCAGTAATGGGCAAATATATGCCCCCATTTTTATTTTTACACAGCAAGAACACAAAAAATAAATACCTTTTTTTACTATTTTTTGATCTCTTTTAATTTTTAGATGTTTTTTTTCAGTTAAATACCTTTTCTATATCGTTATCAAATTTTTTAAAAAATTTTTAAATAGTTAAGCATTCCATTTTTTAATTTAATAAGCTTTGGATTATTCAAAAAAATCCGCAAATTTAATCCGCAAGAAAAAAAAATTGGAAAAAATTTTTTCTGTAAAGATAGGAAAAAATTTTTTTAATCTTTAACTTTTTAAATTAATTTTATTGCTTGAATTGATTTATCTAAAAATTTTTATGATCAAATTTAGTAAAATACGAGTTAAGCTCTTTCCAAATCACCAAAAGGGGGCATGGCTTCTCAAAATGAGGGAAAAAAGCGGGCATTGTTTTTAGCGCTTAAAAATAATTAGAATTACGCCTGGAAGGAATTCTGCTCATTGGAAATGCAGAATCCAAGGATTACGGCTTAAAACTCACCGCAGCCGAAATTTTGAAAATTTTTAGACGCCCATAAGGCTCAAAACTCATTTTTGTTAAAAATGAGAGAAAAAGAAGGCAAGAGCTTAACTCGAATAAAATCCCTCCTAGGTATCATCAGTCTCGGATCTTTTTTCTGTATTTTCTAACTTATCTCTGAAACTTTCTGTTTGAAAAAAGCCTTGACCATTGTCTAAAGCTATTTTGAAATTTTTATTTTTGCGTTGCGGGTTTTAATTTGCGGATTTTTGATCGCTTATGTAATTCTCAAATATTTTTAACTGATTTTTTATTCTGATTTTTGACTTTAACTTTAATTATTTTTTACTTTAAATATTTCTAAATTGACAACGAAAATTTGTAAAATTTACTAGGTAATTTTTAAATATTAGTCAGCACAAAAATCAACATTTTTTTCTTATTTTATTTTTAATCTTTGAATTGCTATAAATTTTATTGTAAAGCGCGATCTCTTTGTTTTTATTCACACAAATGTTTTCTTTGCTTTTCAAATTAAATATTTTTGTGTTTTAATCATTTTTTTGTTAATTTGTCTTTCTTTGATTTTTAAATATCTTAGCTACTACCTAGTTATTTTAAATTTATTTATATGTTTTAAACCTCTTTTATTAATCCCTTTTGAATTCATTGCCTGATCACTAGAGATCGGTATTTTCAAAAATCCTGGATTCTGGATCTGGATTTAGATTAGTAACCTGAACAGGATTCTTGATCTGGATCCAGGAAAAATCCAGGACGATCAAAAAATGCCTAAATAATGACTCTGGATCCAGAAAAATCCAGACTAGATCCAAATCCATACCGATCTCTACTGATCACAGCATCTTAAAAATAGGCAAGGTTAAGGCTGAAAGTAACAGTTAAGATGCTGTGCCTGATCAATTATAATAGGCCAATATTTCTGTACCTACATAGCTTGTCCAACGCTTTTTACTTGTAAATCCCACGTTTCTTTCCTTCCATCGTCACCTCCAAACAAACAAGGGTCCCGGATAGGTTAGGCGGTTCTTGCGAGATCTTCGAGTATCCCACGTTCCTTTCCTTCTAGAGATCGAGATTTTTGAAAAGCCTGGGCCTGTTCCTGGGTTCCGGGTTTGATTTATTTGATTTATTATTTCTGGGCTTGGTCTCGAGAAGTGTCCACCAGGAAAAACTCAAGAAGGTCAAAAAATACCTGGGCCTGGACTCTGGGTACAGGAAACCCAGGCCTTGGTCCAGACCCAGCTTGATCTCTATTTCCTTCTACCGTCAACAAAATTTGGTCCCGAGATGTGTTGTTATATCATAATTCCCTTGCATCGAATTTTATAGTTGACCACATTTTCACAAATAATAAGCAATATTTTCTCCTATCTATTTACATATTTTTACAGGTTAAAGCAAAAATGATTTGTCCGTTGTATGTGTCATCGGGTTTATGTGTCATTCCCCCTTTTAATCAATTCATTCCCTTCCCCCACATATTTCTTATGGCCACTACTTTGTCCATCATCCGATTACCCTCTTTAATTTTCACAAAACAGAAACTAAAAAAATTATTTCTTTTACACTTTTGAAGCAATTTTATTACTAAAGCTACTGTATTCTCTCAATGATAAGACCAATGGCCTATTTTAAATTTTATATTTGAGCTTAAACTCAATTCTCTAAAACTCGTTTCTCGAGCTTAAACTCGACTCGTTTCTCGAGGTTTTTACCTTTCAGATTTAAGCTGAGCCAAACCTCTCAGACTCGACTACCTCTCAGACTTGATTACCACTCGATTACCTCTCAGACTTGATCCTTAAGGCTAGAGTTATTTAGATCAAGAGTCATTTAGAAGTTTTCTTGACCGAGCATTGGGACCTTGTTGAAATCAGACTCAGGATCACAGGGATGTCACATGTTAGCCGAAATTCACCCCGTCTTTTTTTCTTAACTCGAGACATCCCTGGCGCAAATGAGACTGGCACATGAACTCTTTTCTCGAGGTTTTTATTTCCTTAGGCTTGGTATGAGCTAGAGGTTCTAAGAGAGGTTTTCAAACGTATCCATAAACCCTTTAACTATCAAATTTCTATACTAAATTGTTTTAGAAAAATTGGTTAAAGCGACTTCATATCTATGCTTAAATAATTTTCATTTATTTATTTTAATCATTATTCTAACGAAAACGCGGAAAAATAACCAAAATTTCTTCTAATTTCCCCTAATTTCATTTAACATAAAATTCCTATTTAGGAAAAGAAAATGTATTCAACAGCAGCTATGCTTTTCCAACATCCCTCTGATGCGGATAGAGATCAAGGGGAACTTTTCGCGTCATTAGCTGACCAACACATTCCTATGCCTCCACCAATGTAGGGGAATAAAAATTAATTTTTTGACAATCTTGAATGAGAGACGGGTTTTCTAAGTTTTTACTGAGTAGGGGGAAGTTTGATGGATATCCTTGTTAAAATTAGGTAAACGAGTGAACTGAAATTTTAATTACACGTTGATAACGTCCAAGGGATTGAATAAAGACGAGATCTCTCTAAGAATAAAGATTGTTATGACAGATTTTTCTGAGTATCCATCTCGATAATTCATCAATCTAAGTGAATCAGGAATAAAAAAAATAAGCTGGATTCCTTTAACTTCCTGTATAAGTAAGGCTAGCGGATTAGGGTATCCTGATCCGAAAAAGTCCGGAAAAAGTCCCGAGAAAGTTTTCGGTTCGGATATCAGATATCGAGGGAATGTTGATCTCGAACCTCACTCAATCCTCAAGTCCATCAAGTTACCAGGATCAGGAGTAACCGTTAATTTTCTTTCCTATCCCTCTCGGGGCCCAACCCTTTATCCAAACCTTTATCGTTTAATTTAATCTTTTTCCAATCTCCCATTTTAAAGGGAGGATGGCCGCCTTTCATCTCCATCAATGTCAATTAACCTTGACCGAAGCCGTGAATCACTTGATCATTCAATTTGTTCAATTCCCACAAAAGAAACTGAAAATATTTCTCAAGAATTTTTCTCTTCTTTACCTTCTCCAATATTGTCTTCATCCACTTTAGTTGGGTTAACTAACGGTGGTACTAAAAATATTAGTGAGAGAGATTTTGATTCATCTCAAAGAAATGGTGCTAATGGGATGTTAACTACTGGAATTGGTGATATAATGTCTAAGAAACAATCAGAAAAGTAAAATTTGAATTTTTTTAAAAATTTTCTGATTTTTCTGAATGGTCGTATGAGCGCAGGTCCATCTGGGCGCTAACTCATAAATTGCTATTAAATCATAGACCTAGAGATATGAATTTTTCTCTGATTATTTTTGATAGGATTTACTATTTTCTCTAAAAATTTCAGAATTTTCTGTTTCGTATTTTTAAAGTTATAAGCAGAAAACCAACAAAAATCGCCATTTTTCTGGAATAATTTTGATAATTCTGGCAATTCTCTATCAAAAATTCTGAACTTTTTAGACTTGATAGCTAACCTGATCTAATATATTTGTAGAAAAGTTAACTGATCAGATTGCTCATTTAGCCATTTTATAAGGCTATACACCAACCCTTGTCACCGATCACTCACTAGACGTTCGAGAACCCTCTCCCTTTCTAAAATTTATTAAAATAAAATTAAAAAATTTTTAAGAGCCTCATCAACCTCTTCCTCATCCCCAGCATATATTCAAAAAACCTACATTGAGGAGGAAGAAGAGCCCATGCCTTTACCTCCCCCACCTCCATCTACTACTACTTCTAATGGCCTAACTACTAAATTAACTACCACAAATCTTCCTCTAAATGGATCTTCTTTCCCCGTTTCTTTAAGACAAGAACCTCCTCCTCCACCTCCATTACCAACACTTCCTCCAGTTTCCTCACCCGAATCAGTATTGCCTTTGTGGGGTAGAAATGAAAGATTAACAAGTTATTTGCATGGTTATGGAGCAACTTTGCCAAAAAATTTTGAGACTGAAAAAGAATCTATTGAACGTAGAAAACGTCAAGAAGGAGCTGCAGTTGAAGGAGAAGGGAAAGAAAATGGAATTATTAATAATTATGTCCCTCCACCTTCTTATAGATGGATTGAAGCTGAACGGAAAAAAGTAAGGGAGGAGGGTTAGAAAATTTTTTTACAAAATATTTTATTTGAGAGCTAGAAACTTGAAATTTTGCATATTTATCCTCAGAAGTGTCAACTACCTTTATTGAAAATTTCATAATTTATGGTCACGTATTTGGGTAGTTATGGGCGAGAATGTATCAAAAATTCTTAAATTTTCGTTCAAGTCCGGTTTTTTGGCCATAACTCTAGAATTCCGAAACCAAAAATTCTAAAAATTTTAGGATAGCTAGCTAACACTATTAGCTATATTTTTGTAAAATTTGGTACTTTTAGCTACCTAAATGGCCATTTTATAAGCGTGGAACCAGCTGTCACTTACCCAAAACTTTATTTCCAACTTTCACCTACCCAAAAATTTTAAATTTTTTAAAATTTCAAAAATTATTTTAAGATGGAAGAAAGACAAAAGGAAGGAGATAGAGCTTGGACAATTCACCCAATAGCCTTAAAGGAACGTCCATCTTCTAGAAGCATCCAAGAAGACAAAAGAAGGCCAATAGTCAATGGGGAAAGAAATATTCCAATTAAAATACATCCAGATAGCTACAAGCCTTTCTCGGCAAGTAATGATTGGTTCCATTCACCTTTTTATGATAGTTTGTGGCCCCAGAGAAGTGGTTTTGGTGGATTTCAACGTGAGAATAATTTTTTAAAAATTAGGGGAAAAAATGATTTTTTAATATTTTTAACCATTTTCTACTCATTTTTTAACGCAAATTTATTTTTATTTTAAAAGTCTTTAATTATAAACCTTGGCAAAAATATTTTTTCTTAGTTCTACTTACATTAACACACTAGAAATTACAAAAAAAAAATTTTTTGCTAATTAATTGCTCATTGATTTAATTAAATTTTTCTCTGATTTATGTATCAAAGGCAAATTTTCATCATTCTCTAATTTTAAAATTATGAAAAAAAATTTTTTGATAAATCAGAGAAATAAGAATTAATTAAATCGTCGAGTAATTAATTTTAAAAAACATCCTTTACCCATGAAAGGGCTCGAACCCGTGCCCCAACTTTAAGCGGGATTTTGTAGTCAATGCTCTTACCCACTTAACCAAAAGTTCAATTCTGCTATGGCCTCTCTTTTTTGCCTGCGCTTGCTTGCATTCTTTAATTAATTCATAAATATTTTTAAAATCAAAAATAAAAAATTTCAGCCAGCTGGTATTTTCTTTAAATAACCAAAAACATTTTCTCAAAATATTCCAAGGTCTTTTGTACTAAAATTTAAAATATCTTCGTCCTTCATTTCTCCTTTTTACTTTTATTACCTTAAATTCTGCGCAAAAACCCCATATACTTTTACGGCTTTCTGTCATTTTATCGGCGCTACATTGATTCTTTTTTAAAGATATTTGTCATTTTAGCGTTTATTTTACTTTAAAAATTTTTAAAAATTTTATTTTAGAGTCAATGTCTTCATCAGAACTGCCCCCTTTACCTCCTCTCTATTCTTTACCTCCACTACAACAACCACCTTCCCTTTATGGTGGATCTTCAGCTAAGGTAGGGGAGAACTTTTATTTTAAGTACAGTATGACTTTATTTATACGTATACCCTCCCTCCCTCCCTCCCTCCCTCCCTCCCTCCCTCCCTCCCTCCCTCCCTCCCTCCCTCCCTCCCTCCCTCCCTCCCTCCCTCCCTCCCTCCCTCCCTCCCTCCCTCCCTCCCTCCCTCCCTCCCTCCCTCCCTCCCTCCCTCCCTCCCTCCCTCCCTCCCTCCCTCCCTCCCTCCCTCCCTCCCTCCCTCCCTCCCTCCCTCCCTCCCTCCCTCCCTCCCTCCCTCCCTCCCTCCCTCCCTCCCTCCCTCCCTCCCTCCCTCCCTCCCTCCCTCCCTCCCTCCCTCCCTCCCTCCCTCCCTCCCTCCCTCCCTCCCTCCCTCCCTCCCTCCCTCCCTCCCTCCCTCCCTCCCTCCCTCCTAATAAAAATGAGGTCCGAAAAATAATCCGAATGTCGGCCCGACTCGAAACCTCCAACCCTAGTTTAGATACAACATTTGTGAAGGGGTTTATAATAGATGTGAGAATATTAGAAAAATATGATAATGAATAAATATGGTAAAATAAATATCATAGATTAATAAAGGAGTAAAATTTATTTAATATTAGTGCAATAATTATTTTTTAATTTAATTATTTTATTAAACTGTTTCCCTCCCTATAGCCCATCCCTAAATTCCATTTTTTAATCTTTTAAATTATTTTTATAAAATTTTCTGTTTTGTACAGAGGTGGTGTAGTGGGTTAAGGCTGAACAATCTTTAGTTTTACATCTCAAGTTCGTATCTTTTGCAAGATACGAACTTGAGATGTACCCTCCCTCCCTCCCTCCCTCCCTCCCTCCCTCCCTCCCTCCCTCCCTCCCTCCCTCCCTCCCTCCCTCCCTCCCTCCCTCCCTCCCTCCCTCCCTCCCTCCCTCCCTCCCTCCCTCCCTCCCTCCCTCCCTCCCTCCCTCCCTCCCTCCCTCCCTCCCTCCCTCCCTCCCTCCCTCCCTCCCTCCCTCCCTCCCTCCCTCCCTCCCTCCCTCCCTCCCTCCCTCCCTCCCTCCCTCCCTCCCTCCCTCCCTCCCTCCCTCCCTCCCTCCCTCCCTCCCTCCCTCCCTCCCTCCCTCCCTCCCTCCCTCCCTCCCTCCCTCCCTCCCTCCCTCCCTCCCTCCCTCCCTCCCTCCCTCCCTCCCTCCTAATAAAAATGAGGTCCGAAAAATAATCCGAATGTCGGCCCGACTCGAAACCTCCAACCCTAGTTTAGATACAACATTTGTGAAGGGGTTTATAATAGATGTGAGAATATTAGAAAAATATGATAATGAATAAATATGGTAAAATAAATATCATAGATTAATAAAGGAGTAAAATTTATTTAATATTAGTGCAATAATTATTTTTTAATTTAATTATTTTATTAAACTGTTTCCCTCCCTATAGCCCATCCCTAAATTCCATTTTTTAATCTTTTAAATTATTTTTATAAAATTTTCTGTTTTGTACAGAGGTGGTGTAGTGGGTTAAGGCTGAACAATCTTTAGTTTTACATCTCAAGTTCGTATCTTTTGCAAGTTTATTTTAATCTTAAAGCGTCAATGATGATTGTATTAGCTTCTTATTTCGTTAAAAAATGAAGTTGATCAATCTAGCATGTTCACCTTGGAGAACTGAGACGCTTTTTAAAAATTTAATTTTTTTGCTAAAAGAATTCTAGCTTTATCTATTTAATTATTTTTATTTATTTTCTAAAAATCTTGTTTTAATTTTTTGTCATTTAACACGGAACAACTTTCCCCCTAATCATTTTAAGCCCAATAAAAACCTTGTTTTGCTAAATTGTTTTGATGATGTCCATTCTTCTCATCAAAACAATTAAGAATATATAGAGGGGATAAGTACGTTGTTAGAACATTTTTAAAAATAATTTTTGGGGATAATTTATAGTAGGAGAATGCTAGGGAAGATTCCAAGGAGAAAGAGATACTATGCGGCGATTAATAAAATTCCTAAACCGGTTCAATTACAAGCTAGTAAAATATAATTTATTTTTAAATTGTTGTTCAGATCCGTGTTTTTTTAAATAACTAAAATATAAAAAATAAATTTTTGGGCGTGCTAATTTTTATAAATTTATGTATTTTGGGTAATATTCTCTTATTTTTCTGCTGTATTTCTTCAACTTTAATTAACAATAAACAAGATTTTTATCTTTTTTTGACACTTCTTTTTTATTTTCTCAACATATTCTTGTGAACCGTGGCCAGTTATCCTTTTCTTCAGATTATCCTGATTTACGGGGATATACTAGATATTTTTGTTAATTAAATGTTCCCCTCGTTTTCTCCTTTTTTAAAGTTCCTTCCCCTCATTTTAATTTCCTTTTCGTCCCCTTTTCTCCTGTTTTTATCTTCCCATCCAAATTGGCTTGTTATCTTTATCCCTAGCTTATCCTCGGATTATCCGGGGATATACTCTCCTTTTCTGGTTAAAAGTTCCCGAAGAGTTCCTTCCACCCCTCCTAGTCCCTCCTAGTTTATTTTTTTTATCTCCCATCAAAATTCCCTCGTTTGCTCCCCTTGTTTAACAGTTCCCTCCTCTCATTTTTTCCATTTCCTATTCTTCCCCTAGTATTTTATCTTCCCATCAAAATTGGCTTGTTATCTTTATCCTCAGATTATCCGGATTTACAAAAGATATATTCTCCTCTTCTTGTTAAAGTTCCCGAAGAGTTCCTTCCACCCCTCCTAGTCCCTCCTAGTTTATTTTTTTTATCTCCCCATAAATCTGACGAATTTTTTTTTTATTTTTATTTTTCGATTACCTAAACAACTAAACATTTTTTCTACTCTTTTTTATCATTAAATTACCAATTTATTTTTTTAAACATTTTTATCATTAAAATCGTTTCCTTTTAAGTATATTTTTTAACGTTTCCCTCATTTTACACAATTTTTTCTCTAAAATGTAAAATTCGTTGCGTCGTTGAATCACATCCCTTTTTTATATTTTTATGTTGTTTTCTACCCATCATTTTTCCAATTTATTTTTTTTACATTTTCCGGTTAATTTCCTCCTTGGTATCCCCAATCATTTTATTTTTTTTATTTTTCTCAAACATTTCCTATGATCAAAATATTTTTAGATTTCTTCTATTAATCTTTAATTAATCAATTTATATATCTTATTTATATTGGCATCATGGATATCTCAGATTACTTTGACATACCTTAGCTATTGCTGAGTTTTTTATCCTTAACTCCCTCACGCAAAAAAATTTTTTGATTAATTTATTTTTTCTCCAATACATATATGTATGTATAAAGGGAGCCCATCGGCAAGACTAACTCTCAGATTACCAGAAACTCCGACTTTTTTGGACCCCAAAACCCGATACAAGGAAAATTATAGTTAGGGTTTTAGCTCTTTTTTAGCTCTTTTCTTGATTTTTATATCACTAATTTTTCAAGCTGACTCATATTTGTAATCGGCCCATCGGCAGGACTGGCTCAATATAAAAATACAGGCTCACTCTCTAGTATTAGAAGAAAGTAGGATACTTGTACATATTATACATAAAGGGAACTTCAAGTTGGCATTCACGATATAAATTGTCGTCCCTAACATTGATATACCATAGATATTGCTGATTTCTTTGTCCTTAAATCCCCCACACAAAAATTTTTGATTAATTTATTTTTTTCTCCAATATATTTTTAATTAAATATATATAATTTTCAACACAACTACCCCATCCATTCCCCCCCTAATTTTTACTATTAAAAAATTCCTTTTCTTTGATTCATTTTCATTTTTTTTCTCTCAAAAAAATTTTTTTCATCGTTTAATCAACGCTAGTTTTTTTAGTTTTTTTCTTTTAGTACAGTCATTTCTATAAATATATATTGCTTTTTGCCTTTATTTCGTCCCTACTAGTGACAGTTTGTCCACACAATCTTTTTTAATCATCGTTTTTAGACCACTTTTTCTAAAGCAATTTTTAAAATTTTTGTCACTATATTTTTTCATAAGTTGAGATAAGGAGACGGGAAACTTTGGTTAACTTTCGTTGTAGCCTCAACCACCTAGATATACATATAATATGTAGATAAGCATTGTTGCTAGACTTTCTGGCTAAAATTAGAGGGAAACCATTAATAGGGGGTCTTTGTTGAAATGGATGTAGTGTATTTGGTAACAAGGATGGGTCGAGTTCAAAGCCGGATTTTTCGACCAAAGCCGCGACTCAAGAGATTTTCGTAAACCTGACCCCTTTTTGGTAATTAGAGAGAGATTTAGGGATTGGTGATTTTTAACTGAAGAGGAATCCGGGCACTTATTTGGGAGAAAGTGGGCCAAACTACCTCAGCTAAAAAAATAGTCTTATCTCTCTCTCCCGTTAGTTTGTTATAGCCCATCGGAAAATGTTAATCATACCAAAAATCGAGGATATTTGACTTTCCTAAACTTGGAATAAGCTGGGGAGGTGTACAAACACTTCTTTAGTTTCAAAATATTTTTTTTCATTAAATATAAAATTTAAAAGTACAACAAACATTTTTAACGAAATATTGTTTACTTTATAACTTAAAATGCCTTCTCTATTTATTTTACTAAATTCCTCAAATTTTTATTTTCTCTCTCCCTCTCATTTTTTTTTCGGACCCTCTAAAATCATTTTTATTTTCTTCTTTAATAAATATTTCTTACATTAGGACCAAAAATTCGAAATTTGAGTAAGTCGTGAAGCTTGATATACAAAATATTTGCTTACTTATATGACTTTCAATTCCAGAGATTTAAAAATTTTTTTGCAAATATCTCACTTACTTTTTATTGAAATTCACTAAAATTTTTAACATCCCCACTTAATCTCTTTGGATTTTTTTACTTAAATAGTGACCTGACTGAGATAAGACTGAGACAAGATCTCGAAAAAAAATTCTAGGTTATTGAGACGTTATTTTCGAGATACCGATCTCGATTCTTATACTACCTTCCAGTCCGTTTTTAATAAGGCTTTAAAGCACTATATTTATAGTAACTACCGCTCTCTCATCGAGAGTCTTGACTCACTTTTCTTGAGTTTTTTTTCGGTCTCTTGGTTCCTGGAAATTTTGGTCTTGGTACATATATTTTTTTACAATACATAGGTATATTTTTTTTTCTAAAGATCAAACGTCCTTGATCAGCCTTTGTAATTGGAAGTTCCAAATTTTTTTCCAAGTTCCAAGTTCTAAATTTTTCAAATTTCCCGATTTGAACTTTTCAAAGCCAAAATTAAATTTATTTTTTGACCAATTCTTTCATCCGATTTTTAATTTTTCGTTTTCCTATTCAATCTTCCCCCTCCCCTCTCTCCTCCCCCACTTTTTTTCAAATTTTAACAAATTTCAATTGAAATTTATTTTTCACAATTCAATGCAATGACATAGGTTTTTCATTCTCCCTTTTCATTCAAAATACAATAAAATAAATATTTTTCAATTTATTCCCCATCTCTCTATTAATGACAGCCGCACTTAACGATCAATATATTTACATTAAATGACTGTCACTAAAAGCATCCCTCCCTCTCAATTTTTGTCAAAAATTTTTGTATTTGTTAGTAAATGTAGTGACCTAATAAATTATTTGAAAAATTTTCTTTTTAAATTTTTGTATTGAAAATATCCTTCAATTTAATCTCTTTTCCATTCCAATTTGAATAAAAGAAAAGGAGCACTCATTTAAGAGAGTGAGAGAGAAAAGGAGCTGAAAGAGAGGAGCTGTGTCACTTTTGAGAGGAAATGACAGATCCAAAACAATCTCTCATAAATTTTTGAAAGAGAGATCATTCATAAATTTTATTTTTATTTTCCATTTATTCTTCACAAATTTATTTGGGAAGAATTTTGGAAGATATTAAGACTTTTGAAGGATATACCTCTCTTATTCCTTATACTACTTTGGAATAGCTTTTAGATTTAATCTGTCAAGTTTTAGTGTCAGGAGGATTTAAGAATCAAACATCCCTGATCAGCGTTTCGAAGCTTATATTAAAATTTTACGAGTTCAAGAAAATTGAACTTTCTAACAATAAGCGATATATGCCCAAGACTCTTCATTTTCTTTTTTCCTGTTTTCAAATTTTATTTCGCTAATAGGTAATCCATCTTTCGTCTTCCGTTTTTTTTAAATCGGTTTACAGTATCTCTGCTATATTTCTAGAAGATCCCTGTCTTCTATAAAATGATCCTGTCTCAGATTCCTGTCTCCCTGTATTCTGATCCCGTCTTGTATATTTCTAAAAGAGGGTAGGGAAACTAAAGTTATTTTTGGAACAAAGCTAACACTAATTGCTCAAAGGGTAAACCTAAAAACTCATATCATTTCCTAGGCCTTTTTAAATCCTAAAAATTTCCTCTCTTATTTTGCTTCTATATTTAAAATATTTTTCAGTAAATAAAAGAAAAATAACAAAAAGCACCAGGTATATAGGCTTTCCGTCTTTTTATTTAAAGCTTTAGGTAGCTAGCGCAAAAATCCCCCTCCTCAGCTTCTACCTTTCCACATAACAATAAGAATAATGAGTATTTATTTGTCCTTTCCTCATTTTCCCTCATTTCTCACAGCTGGCGCGCTTTGCGCGCATTCCATTTTATTTTCATTGATTACAGCCGAAACTGGTTTTTAAAATAAATAATGAGGTCGAAATTGTTTTGATATTTGTTGCATTATTTTTTGATTAAGTTCAACATTTTCTCTAAGTAAATATTTATTTGATGAGTAATCATACCCCACGATCAGGGTTGGGTGCCCGATTCGGCCCGGTCCGAAAGATCGAGTCGGGAATCAAATTTTGGTCCGAAAAAGTCTTGGTCAAAAAATTACTTGAACGTCGGCCCGACTCGAAAACCCAAACCCTACCCACCATAAATCACATTTTCCATGATTTTTCTAGAAATTTCTGTTGCCTCTAATTGTAACCCCAACCTACCGAAGGACCTTTAGGTGGCGGTATAACCGAGTTAATGGATCTATATGGCCATATGCCAGGTTATACTGGTACTATACTTCTTCAACCCTTTTTCTCTCAATCCTAGGGGATCGAGATCCTCATTTTTATCTTCCTCCCTCTTTGCTTTATTTAAACAAAATTTATCAAAAATCATTTTCATCATTACCTCCTACTTTCCCCTCTCCCTTCCCCCCCCACCTCCCCCTTGAAACCACATAGTATACCATTAATTTATTTAAATATTATTTTTGTTTTGTACATTTGCTTATTATTTTTATAAAAATACTCCTTCAAGCCCCACCTTTCCTTTCCTACAATCCTCTCTCTCTTTTATTATTTTAGTAGTGAGCAAAAGCCGGTCATTGAATGAAAAGCCGGTCATTACAAAGCCGGATTTGAATAGTTGACACAAATAAAAATAAAGGGAGAGAAAAGCTAAAGCAATAATAATTATTAAAATATTAAATTGAATGCCCTTTATTTTCTATTTTTTTAATAAATTTGTTATTAAACAATCCTATTGACCTTTTTTCTAATTCTTTTTGTCTACCAAAAACTGAGATTTTAACAAAATATTTTTTCAAATAAAAAATTTAAATTTCGTAAATATCCCAATAGAAGCCATGGGCGTTTATTTTTCAAGTGTTTCATTAAGACTCACGTTCTATTGGTGTTGGGATTCTATTTAGGATATTTACTGTAAATCTGTTCAGATGATTTTCAATCTATCAGTTAGGGAAAAATTATTTTGATTAAAATTTCCTTCTGGGGCGCCAGTAATAAGGTTGGCGGTTCCGGTTATCCGGAACCGAAAAAAGACCGGATAACCGAAATCTTCGGTTCGGTTATCGGTTCCGAATAACCGAAGATTTCCTAGGAACCGCCAACCTTAGCCAATAAGGGTTTAAGCTCTAATAGATCTTTGTACCATCCACACCTATTTAAATCCCAGTCCTTTTCATTTCTCGGATCTTAGGGAATCTTCCTTAAACCTTGAAGCATTTCCTCTAGGGTTGTTGGCGACCGGTTATTAACCGGTACCCTCGGTTTTCGGTTATCGCCGGTTTTCGACCCCCGGTTTTCGGTTCCGGTTTTTGATTTACCCCCGGTTTTTGGTTAACCGGGACCGGTTTTTGGACAAATTTTCATCCAGAATATCCCATTAAGATGTTGTGACATTCTAACACCTTTAAATAAATATTCTATACACTTCATCGGGGATTAGGGAGATGAGAAGTTATCAAGGCGTTGGGGTGAATGATAGTATTAAGAGGTGTTGTCTAGGGATTTATAGGTCCGATATTATTCGATGACTTTAGATCTCCTGATATCCTCGATATGCATCATCTCAATATATCCCTCCAATAACCCCGATTTCAATTTTCAGCGCCGCAGGCGAAAATTCTGAAAATTTAGGAAGGCCAATAGCCTGATTTCTTCTGTTTTTTTGGCCGGATGCGAAATTTTTAAGAATTTTGGATGACTAAGTCACCAGATTTCTTTCTTTTCAAGCGCCGCAGGCGAAAATTTTGGAGAATTTTGGAAGGCCAAGAACCCAGGTTTCTTCCTTTTTCAGCGCCGCAGGCGAAAATTTTTAGAATTTTGAAAACAGTAGGTAAAAATTCGCTGTTTTCAATATCTTTCTCCTCATCTGTTTAAAAAATTTGCTACAACTTTTTACACTTTTGATAATGTTTAAAAATAAATTTGCATATTTAAGATCAAAATTAAAAGCTTAAACTTCATTTTCGAACAAAAAAACTGAAATAAACTTGATTCACAAAGAAAGATCGAACCCAATCCTACGGGCATTGTCGCCTGCCAACTTACCCACTAAACCACGCATTTCCTCAAGGAAGTAAAAAATTATTATACATATACCTATTTTGACTTTTTTAATAATTCTGATAAAAATGTTTTGCCAAAATGTATTTTAGTCATTAAAATTTCCGAAAGATTCCCAAAAATTTCCATCGTTAGGGGTGTATTTTTAAAACCGAAACCGGGCGGTTTTGGTCACCGGTTTTCGGTTATCGCCGGTTTTCGACCCCCGGTTTTCGGTTCCGGTTAATTCGCCAAAAACACCGGTTAACGGTTCCGGTTCCGGTTCGGTTAACCGACCGCCAACAACCCTAATTTCCTCCTTATTTTTACTTCCTCCCTCCCTCCTTTTTTTAAATTCTTCCTCTTCATCCTCATACAATTACTAAATATTTTCTCCTTTTATCTTCAAACACTTTTTTTAAAAATAAATATAAAAATATTTCTGCAAACAACAAAAAAATATAAAGAAATTTCCTTCCATCTATCCATCACGCATTTTACTCTTTTTATTTTTTCCCTTATTCTTTTTTTTAAATGTTTGCGCAATCGTGACAGCCCTCTTCCCCCTTTAAAGTTGCTTTAGCAGCTTCATCACATTCTTGGCCACTCATAATTTGTATGTTTGTATAGTTAAAGCAGCTGTACGAATTTTTCTTTCGTCTCTTTTTTTTCTTTGAATCATTAAAAATAAAAAAAAATTTTATTAAAAGTTTGAAGAACTTTTTAACACCTAGATATTATCTAAAAACAGTCGACTAGTATAAATGTTTGTTCACTATATAGAGAGTTATTTTGGGAGACCCCTCTATATAGTAAGGGTTAACCTTGAAGGAGTCCCCTATACAGGGAATTGACTATAGAAGTTAATTATAAAGAGAGTCCACTGTAGAGGGAATTACCTCTATATAGTGAACCTTCAATGAGTCCACTGTAGAGAGAGTTCGTTATACGCACATAATTAAGCTTTATATCTAAGCCTATCCGCGTTAATCATTCTCTTTTTTGTTGAGGCTTTAGGACATCATTCTAAATAATTTTTATTGCTTTCTTCTGTTGAGGGGAATTAAAGAGAGAGTATACTGTAGAATTATTTGAATAAAATTTTTAATTAAAATTCCCTAAATTCCTTTTAATTTTCGCGTTTTTTAAATTTAAATACATCAAAAAATATTTTATTTTATTTTCCTTTATTTTTTTTAGCCAAGTCCAGTCCCAACAGCTTTTGCTTCTGTTGGTGCCTTTGATCATTCTTTTGAATCCAGCTCTCGTTCTGATTTCATGTCCGCAAGTGGTGGACCTGCTAGCACTGATCAAAGAGCTGGAAGACAAACAACAAATATTAGAGAAATTCCAATCCAAAGATCGGCTTCAGCCTTTGCACCTTCTATTGGGGGAATTATGGGGAGTGGTGCTAGACCGACACCGGCTGCCGCAGCACCACCACCTACCCACAATGAATATTACAGAAGAGAGGTGTGAAAATTGGAAATAGATATTTTTTATTTATTTTGGAAGCTGTAATTTTCAAAAAAATTTCAGAAAAATTTCCAAAAAAATTCAAAAATTTTCAAAAAAATTTCAAAAAAATTTCAAAAAATTTCAAAAAATTTCAGAAAAAAATTTCAAATTTCAAAAAAATTTTCAAAAATTTTCAAAAAAATTTCAAAAAATTTCAAAAAAATTTCAGAAAAATTTCCAAAAAAATTCAAAAATTTTCAAAAAAATTTCAAAAAAATTTCAAAAAATTTCAAAAAATTTCAGAAAAAAATTTCAAATTTCAAAAAAATTTTCAAAAATTTTCAAAAAAATTTCAAAAAATTTCAAAAAATTTCAGAAAAAAAATTTCAAATTTCAAAAAAATTTTCAAAAAATTTCAAAAATTTTCAAAAAAATTCTAAAAATTTCTAAAAATTTTTTAAAAAATCTTTCAGATTTTATTCAAATTTTTCCCAATAAAAATCTTGAAAAATATTTTTTAATTCCCTCTAGGTATTAACTCGAACATTGGTTACACGCTCTACAGAAGCTTTGAGTGCACCTCCACCTTTAAGTCGTTCACCGCCAGTTGCACCAACACTGCCTCCTACACGGCCCTTAAATGTTGATCTGCCTCCTAGAGATCAGCTTTCTGAGGAATATTGGTGCGCCTTTTATTTTTTAATTTCTAATGGGTTAAACGGAGAATAGAAGAACCGTTCTACTATTAATTAATAAAAATAATTATTGTTTAATTATCCAGGGTTCGATATTCTCGAAACATTGAAGAAGAAGAACGCCGACTACGCTCTGAACAGGTCTTTTGGTATCTTAAGGATTTTTAAAAAAAATTTTTTTTAAAGGAACATCGCCGCCGAGCAGAGGAAGAACGTCGCCTTCGTGTAGAAGAACAACGCCGCCGCCTTGAACAACAAGAACAAGAATTGGTCGAAAAATTGCGGAGAGAAAGGGAACAATTGGGGAAAACATTGGAAGCCCAAATGCTTGACAGGGAACGCGCTGAACGTGACAGAATACATCAAGATCGGTTGGAAAGAGAAGCTGCTGAACGTCGACGTAGAGAGGTGGAAATAATACCTTTTGGGAATTTTTGGTATTGGAATGAGGAGGAGGAAGTTATTGATGAAGAAGCCTTTGAGGCTGTGAATGAGGAGGAGAATAATCGTTATTTCTTGTTGGATATTCTTTGAGGGAGAAAATTCGAATTTTTGATTAAAAATTTTGTATAGCAAGCAAGTAGGGTCCCTCCCCGCCCTTACCATACCTGTCAAATAGAGATCGAGATTTTTGAAAAGCCTGGACCTGTTCCTGGACTCTGGAGTTTGATTTCTTGACCTGGACTTTGGAATCTGGGGGGGGGGGGGCCTGTAGTCCTGGGCCTGTAGTCCAGGAAAAACCCAGGTCCAGGAAAAACCAAGGAAGGTCAAAAAATGCCTGGACCTTGACTCTGGGTACAGGAAAAACCCAGGCCTTGGTCCAGGTCCATTTTGGTCAGTGCTGGGTATTGGGCATTTTCTAGCTCCGGCTCTGGCCATTTTCAAATCTTTAAGATAAAAAATATTCGGAGGGGAACCCTACTAACTAACGTAGTATTGTTTAATTAAAAGGCCGCGCATGTTTTGTTTTTCAATCGAGCTTGTTTTGCTTTTTTACTCTTTTTGGAGTGTTTGCTTTTTTAGATTAGTTTTGATTTGATTTTGGATTTACAAAATTTTAGTTATCAGTTTATTAAAATTTATTTGCATTGTCAAATACAGTCGGATCTTACATGAAGATGGAAAAATTGTATTTTATAATGGGGTGTACCCAGGATGAGACTTGATTACCTGAAACTAAATACCCAATCTGAAGAAATTTTTGAAAATTTTTGAAAACACAACTCGAAACCCAAACTAACTTTTTTCTCAAACCGACCCATCCCTGGGGTGTTTCTTAAGTCAAAGGTATCACTTAGAAGGGGATAAGGGAAGGGGACTACTCTCTTTAAGGGGACTACTCTCTTTAAAAAGTGAATCTTAATTGTATTAAGTATTGGGTTTATCTTTAATTTAAGCTTGACTGTATTTGATCGAATAGAATTAATTTGATATAAAGTTATGTTCTGATATTTTACTTGAATTTTTTACCTATTTATTCAGTTAAATTTGTTCTGAAAAAAATATTTTTCTATTTATATTTTATGTGAAAAGCCAAACATGAGCGAGCCTATTTTTATTTATTTTTATTTTTTCAAATTTAATTAAAAGGAATGGGATCGTATTGAACGCGAGAGGCGAGCTTATGAGGAAGCCGAATTGGAGAAACGACGGGAATTGGAACGAATAGAACGTGAAAGGCTCGAAAGAGAACGTTTAGAAGCTGAACGTTTGGAACGCGAAAGATTGGAAAGGCAGAAACAAGAATTGGAAAGAATTGAAAAACAACGATTGGAACAGGAAAGGATAGAAAGGGAGAGGTTGGAAATTGAACGGCTTGAGGTGAATAAAAATTTCGGAACTTCGAAACTCGAGGAAAAATTTTTAAAAATTCTAAATTTCAGATTGAACGTATAGAACGTATAAAACGTGAAAAACGTGAACAAGATGAACGAGAAAAAGAAAGGCAAAGACAAGAAGCTGCCAGATTACAAAAAGTGCGAGAAGAGTTGGAAAAAGCTGAACGTGAACGTTTAGAATTGGAAAGACAAGCTAAGGAATTATATGAACGTGAACAACGTGAAGAAGCTGAAAGGCAAAGAGAACGGGAAAGGGAAGCACAAAAAGAAGCTCAGAGAAGGGAAGAGGAAAGATTGGCACGTGAACGGCTTGAACGTGCTGAGAGGGAGGCTATGGAAAGGGAAATTGCTCGAAGGGCTAGGGAACGTGCTGAACAGGAAAGATTGGAAATGTTGAGAAAGGAAAAGGAAAGGATTGAGCAAGAACAAATGGAAGCTGAAAAAAGGGAGAGGGAACGATTGGAACAAGAAAGGAGAGAAAGGGAAATGATTGAAGGTATTTTTGAGTTGATTTTTAGTTAGAAAAATTTAAGAAAAAAAAATTTTTAAGCCGCAATACTTGCCCGCGAACGTAGAGACCAAGAACGTCGAGAAGAGAGAGATAGGGAACGCCAACGCCAAGAGGAGGAACGACTTGAACAAGAGCGGAGACAACGGGAGCGTGTTGAGGCTCAACAGCGTGAAAGGGAGAGGCAGATGCAGGGTAAGTTAGAGGAATTTAAATTCCGGAAATAAACTTCTTCCGGAAAAAATAATTCCGTTCAATTTTTAGAACAACAAGAACGCGATCGGCTAGCACAATTAGAAGCTCAAGCAGCTGAAAGGCGTGCACATCGAGCACTAGAGGAGCGTCAACAACGTGAACGTTTAGAAATTGAACGACGCGCAGAAGAATTGAAGGAGTTTGAGAGATTGGAACAAGAAAAGAGAGAACGTGAAAGAGCAGCAGAAGAAGTAAGACTTGCAGAATTGCGAGATCAAGAACAAAGAATGGCAGCTGAACGTGAAAGGGAAAGACGAGAAGCTCAAGAACGTGAAGAGAGGAGACAGAGAGAAGGTTGGCGTAGCCGAGAGATGCTTGAACAACTTGCACGTGAGAGGGATGAGAAGGCTGCTTGGGAAGCTGAGAGAAGACGATTATTGGTACTCTAAGGGGTTTTATTATCTCCCATATAAGAACCTCCCACAATCAAGCCCTAAGAAAATTTTTAAAATCCCCAAAAAATTTCTAACCCCTGAAAAATTTTCTAACTCCCCTAAAAATTTTTCTTAAATAGGAGGAACATGAAATACAAGAACGTAAACGACAAGGACTAACATCCAAAGAAACTTTGGAGAGATTGACACGTAAACCTTACTATTCTCGTGAAAATTTGGCTGATTATCCCGATTTGACTACTAAGGTATTTTTGGCTGCCAAAATATTTTTTTAAATTTCCTCCCTAAAAAAGGTTGAACGTCAAGTCATTGAACGTGTTGATCGAACTCTTTGGACAGATACAACAGATACACGTCCAGCTTCTCATAATGGATTAACACCTCTCTATTATGGCGGTCCAGGCAGCAATGGAATGCCCCCACCTCTTTATGGGGGAGATTTGGGTGGTCAACAGCCACCACTCACAGAAGGAGAAGAATATACGGGTGGTGGAGGAAGGGAGCCTTCTCGTTTATATCAATCTAGAGCAGATGAACAAGATTGGCTAAGACGTGGGGCATCTAGTAGAACGAGTAAATATAGGCAAAGAATGGAAAGGGCGAGGAAAGAATTTATTACTGGAACTCCAAGTGAATATCCTCCTTCAAGTTATGGTGAGAGAAGAAAAAAATTTTCTCTCAGAAAAAAAATTTTTTCCATTTAAAGACCCATTGCTAGACCGTTATCGAAAATCTACTGAAGATTTACTTTATGGCCGTCGACCCCCTTCAGAATATCGAGGTCCTTTACTTCAACGCTTCAACAGCGGAGAGTTTTCTCATCCTCCTGAACCAACTATTGGACTTGCAAGTGGTTTGGGTCGAAGTCCTTACGAGCAGGTATTTTTAAAATAATTTTTGATGGAGGGGAGAGGGGGCAGTTGTTGTAAATTTATTTTTAGTTTTAATTTTTTGTTGTTTCTATCAGTTTTTTTGTTTATTAGCACCTTTAAACTAATTTAATTTTACTAGTCTATAACCAGCTTTCTCGATTATTTTTTCACGTTTTTTTCTTAAAATTTCTCATATTTTTCTACTTAACAACCTCTTTTACTATTGCACCTCTATTTAGTGACCCTCACTATAAGCGACTTTGCCTCCCTCTCCTCTATGTAGTGGACGAATAACTCTCTCTATAAGAGACTTTCTTTACCTTTTCTTCCTTTTTTACCTATCTTTTATTTTTTCTTCATTCTTCTTCCGCCCCCTCTTCCTCCTCCTAATTAGCTTGTATCATTCTTCATTGCTCATTCTCTCAGGAATTTCAACGTTTGTTGGAGAAAGCTCGTCGTTCTCTGGCACATTATTATCGTCTTAAAAGGCCTCCTTCATATTGGAGTCACACGGGTTTAGATATTACTGAATTAAATGAAGGATTTGCCCTAGAGGTTATTTTTACTTTACGAGTGTTTTTAACCTTCCTTTAACCTCTCCTTAATTTTCTCAAGGTTTTAATTAACGAAATCTTCTTTCTACTCCATTTTTCTTTTCATTCCTCCTTTAAAATTTTCTCATCTCCATTAAATTCTCTCCAAAAACCACCTCTCTCCTCTCTTTTCTTTTTAATTTTTCAAATTTTTTAACCTAAAAATTTTTTTAAAAAAGGAGGATTTTCATCGTTCAAAGTCTGTATTAGACTCCTACAGTCCTACCTCTCGAGGGCGTCTAAGCCGAAGGGAATATACCGAACAGGAATCAACACATACACGAAGCAAATCTGCCGATTATTTGATGGATCCAAGACGGTGAGATTTGTTATATTTTGATTAACGCTTCCACTTATCCCATATTTTTGGTCATCAGAACCAGTTTCACAACCTTAGCCTAAGGCACACTTAGGATTTAGGATATCTGGAAGACTGGGATGACTTAGAGATTAAGTCGAATTTGATTTTGAACATACTACAAATAACTCCCAGTTATCCCACCCATTTGATATCGCATCGCTACAACTCCACTATCCTTATTATCTTAGGCACTTTGTGATATCTCGAAGATTGGGATAAGATAGAGATTAAATCAAATATTACTTTACACTATAACTATCCCATATTTTATTCTGGGATATCTTAGAGAATTTGGGATATCTGGAAAAAAATAAAAAAAATTCCAGTCCAAGAGAAGAACCAACCATCCCCGAAAATGATTTACAAAAAGGATTACTCGGCGAACACGAATTACGTTTCCGAAAATCAACAGAAAGAATGCAAGTACCTGATTGGTATAGAGATTATTATAGACAACAACAACCTCCTATAGGAGGTTATGGTCCTCCTTCAGCTACTACAAGTGGAGTGTTTTCCGCTGGGACAGCACCGACTGTTTCTACTGGGGTGGGAATTTTCTAAATTTAATTTTCAATTAATTCATTTATCGAAAAAATGAGGGAAATAATTAAAGTATGTAGTACCCATCTTTTCGAGAGAAGTGTATGAAATTAATTTTAACCTTAGAAATAAAATATGTGAATATCATCTGCAATTCTAACAATTCTCATTTTACAGTACCCCTCTTTTTGAGTTTCCATTTTTTCGATACAAGTACTTAAGGAAAGCCAGTTCAGTGCCAATTTACTAAAAAAATATTTTATGGTAAAAATTAATTAAATTCACCTTCTAATTAATTTAAAAATTTCAGACTAATTATAATAACCAATATTGCTGTTAAAAAATTCGAAAAAAAGGCTCGAATTTTTTTAACCCCACTACAAATCTTTAGGACGATAAAATTAATTAAAATTCAAATTTCAAAAAATTCCTAAAAATTTCAAAAATTTCAAAACCTCATTTTTAGTATCCCTATACTCGCCAAGAACCACCTCCTCCCATCTCTTCTCTATACGGAAAAGAAACTTCACGTCCATGGCAATATACTCAACAACCCCTACCCCCTCCAACAACTACTATTTATGGTTCTCCCCCTCTCGGAGGAATTTCTTTCCCTGCAGGGATGTTTGATAAATATAAAGAAGAAATTGAAGATTTGAGACGTTCTAGAGGCTCTTTACATCAATTGGGTTTGGGTGGGGAAAGAGGAGGAAGAGGAACTGCAACACATCCACAGGAACATACAAAGGTCTGCGTGCTTTGAATTCAAAAAATTTCTTTTCTGAAAAAAAATTTTTGTTTGTGTTTATTTTTGTTTTTCTGTGTGTTTTGATGTGAAAAACGAGCCGAGTGAAGGAAAGGAGAAAATTCCTAAAAGATTTTTATTGAAGAAAAAATTATTTTGGATTAGCAGGCTTTTTTGCAGGCTTTCCCATCCACCTCAAATTTTCTGATTTTTAACTTCTCGTCTTCAATTTTTTAAATTTTACCCAGGTATTTGGGTCTTTGAGAATATAGCTATTTAATTTCTAAGGCTAGTAATTAGGCGCGGTGTAATGGATAACAAATCAGTCCGGTCTACTGAAGATGCTGGTTCGCTCCCAGCTGCCGAATAAAATCTTTTGCACTAGCTAAAGGGGGAGAAATAGCTATAGCACAGCTGCTTAACTCTATCAAACTCCATCCTACTCTTAGAATGAAAAAATCTAAGATGGTTTTTTATCATTATTTTAAATCCGCAAAATTTCCTCAAAAGTTTGCCTTGTTTTTAATGCTTTTTGGCTTTTCCTTTTTTTATTTTTCAAATTTTCTTTAATTTATTTTGCACATTTTTTGTTATTTTTTTCCTTTTTCACACCCACTCGGTTCGTTTAAAGCACACAACTTTTAATGCCTAAAAAATTTTTTTGAAAAATTTAAAAATTAATAATTTTCCAATAAACCACTGCCTAAAATATTTTTAAACAAAAAATTTCTTTCAATTTTTCCTAATTAACAAATTAAACATAAGATTAATTTTAACTTTTACCCTCTTTGCCATTTTTAATTAAATGCCATTTTAAAATAAAAAATAATTATAAGTAAATAATTGATAAAATAATATTCTTTAATTTAATGCTCATGTGCACATTATCCTTAAAAGCAAATTAAAATTTCATTTTTTGGCACAAGAGATTATTTTTAAAAAAATTTTTATCAGTTCCTTTATACATTAATTTAATTTTGTGTGCCAAAAAATATTTTTTCCCTCCAAAATTTTTAAAATTTCGTGCATTTTCCCTTTTTCCTTTTCTTCCCTTTGCCTTCATTTTCTGTCGCACTTTTATTTAAATTAAAATAAAATTTTTTAAATTTAAATTTTGAACTTTTTTGCACATCTAATTATTTATATGGTAATAATTGATAAAAAAAATTAATAAAAATTTTTGTTTTTAATTTTCCAGCTTCGGTATTTCTTTTTCAAATTTAATTTAATATAATTTCTGCTTTTATCCTTTTTTCCCACTTTGCTTCAAAAATTAAAATTTAAAGCTTGAAACTGACTAAAGTTTGGATACACGGACCCGAACCGACAAATCTTTCCTTATGTAAGGAACAGACTTGGTCATGGACATTGACTTTGGTATCCGTATCCGGACATTTACAACGGATACAGACGGATATCCTCAGGCAACTAGATATTCTCTGTATCAATAGCAGGGGTAAGCGCAAGAGGCAATCGTGAAAAACGCAAACGCAAGGCCAAAAATCGTGAAAAACGCAACGCAATCACCGCTAATCCATATCCGTATCCATTACCAAGTCTAGTAAGAAAGAAGGGAGATAGCTAGGCTTTAATTTAAGATCTATTAAAGGAGTATGTAAAGTAGCGCAACCCCGAAAAAAACTGTTCTCAATTAAATTTTAAGTCTAAGAAAACAAAAAAAATGTGTTTGCTTTTATTGTGCTTTATCCTTTACTTTAACCTCTTTGCCCCTTCTTTTCCCATTTTTCTTAAAATTAAATCCACAACCCCTTTTTTAAGCCTCAACAACAACCACCAAAATTAATAGTTGAAGGAAATACAGTAACTAGAGAATATTCTAAAGAGGTAATTTTGTATAGTCGAACCTTGTTTTAGATCCCTTTTGGTTTAGGGAATCGTATATCCAAACGGCGCTCACCTAGGCTTATCGTTTAACCACTTCCCACCCAGCCACCTCCAATGTCAAAGCAAGATTTTTAAAAAGTCTCTTAACTGGAGATCAAAATTTTTTCAAAGGTCCTTGCGGTGTTTCAGGGGCAGGGTTGATAGTCCTAGAGGAGTACCTCCCACTACATATTCCCACTGAACACTGGGGACGCCAATAAGTTAAAGGATTTAAAAAAGTCTCTTAACTTGAGATTGTCATAATCTTAAAAACGAGGTTGAATAAATTAAATAATAAAAACTAATTAAAATTATTCAAAAAAGGCTTTCTCCAAAACAGAAGTACAAACATTAGCATATCCACAAGGCAGTCACTTACCTGGATATACTGTTTCTACTGTTCCTAGTGAATGGAGAATGGCGCCTAAAGAACGGTGGGATTTTCAGAAATTTTTTAGACAATTGGAAAAATATTTGGATTCAAAAAATCTAAGTCTCCTGCTCAAAAATCTCACTAATAACACCTTCGAGAAAATATTATTAGATTTTGATAGAACAATGTCAGATGTAGTGCCCCTTCCCCGTTCCCGTGAACTTGGGAAAACACTGATTAAATGATAGGTTTTTGATTAAAAACAAACATATCAAGAAGCGTGCCATCCCGGGTTCCCCAAAATCTGCATTTTAAAATTTCTTCTGAATCCCGATTCACTAGGTCGAAATTTTTTTCATGGCGGATCGTTCCCTGTCACATAATATTACCAGAAAAAATACTCTTTTAAAATTTTTAACCCTTCCTTTTAAGTCAAAACTCCCGAGTAGTAGAAGTAGTTGACACCTTTGTTGATCGCCCAGCAGCAACAGATGGACAACAACCTCCTTTAGGCAAGCGCTATGGAGGAAGAGTTACTTTAGAAGAAGTATTAGATTCAATCTTTCAATCTACTCAATATATTCCTGATCTCCCTCCTGCAGATCCAAGGCATTTTTCTTGAAATTTAAAAGCTCTAAATAAATTTCTTTAAATTTTAAAGCACCTTCTCAGAGTCCCAATCGCAATTTCGAAATGTAGACGGACCTGGAATTTTTACTCCAAATCAGGCATTGATGGATAAATTGGCAGAACAGCCACAACTGGCTGAACAATTGCTTAGGGTAAAGATGGGGAAATTAAACAAATATTTTTAGAAACCTCTAACTTATGACCCTTCTGTTTTATAGACACACCTCTAGTTTACAAACTCTATCAGAATATACATATAGTCAACTCTCATTAGTAGCGACTTTTTAATGACGTTATAAAGAAATCTCTTCGTTCCCTCCATTGCCCCTTGGGCGGTGATTAGCAACTCTCATTATAGGCAACCTTTTCTACAACCACTCCGTGTCGCTACTAGCGAGTGTTAATTAGAAATTAGGTTATCTTCCAAAGTCTATACCCGTGTAGTTTTTATACCTTATTGTATCTCAAAGGGTTTACGTAAAATAAGGGTCCGATAGATTTTTTCCCAAATTGAACTCCAAAAATTTAACCAATTTCCTTAAAATCTCAGAATGTGCCAATTTATGTCCGCTGTGCAAATTGCCAATTAATTAGGCCTTTACCAGAAGCCAGAGGTCATTATTGTTGGTGTCGACATTGTTATACTTATTACTGTTCTCGTAGTTGTAGACAACGAGATTGGGAAAGGCATAGAGATAAATGTTCTTTTGCCAGAATTAATTCTCTTTGTAAAGAGGTTATTATGAAGGTATTTGTTTGGAAAAATTTTTTTAAGAATTCCAGTAATAGACCAAATCTTAGAAAATCTGATTTAAAGTTCCAGGTCCTTTCAAGACCACTTAGGAATATTACCATTCGTTTTCGGTTAAAGCTAAGCTCAGTACATCCATTCACCAATGTCTTCAATCCTCAATATTCCCCTTCCATTTGTAGGTCTAACGAACTGGACTGAGATCCAACGAATTTCACAGATTCCTACTAGAGAAAACCTGTGATTCTGGGAAGAACGGGATACCTCAAAAGATAGGTAACTTTACCTCAAAAAGGTAGGGCTCAAAAAGTAAGTAACCCTCCCCCTCCGTTTTTTAAGCTCTTCCTCGACTTAGACCAGAAATTTAAAAAAAATTTTTACTCTCAAGGTCCGTCGAGACCCAGAAACACAATTTCACATGTCCAGGGTTGCCAGAGAAGGATTTAGAAGAGAAGGACGCGGTTCAGTTAATATACGTTTAATGTAAAATAAATTTCTTAGTTAGAAAAAATTTTTTCCTAAATTACTAGATCAGCATATTCAGCCCAATTATATTTAGAAAAAGGCTGGCAAATATTTGCAAGACATGACCCTAATCAGTTATTATTTTATTACCCAATACAGGCATTGATAGATCAAAGGAAGGAGCCTAGTTTAATTCAGCTTTGTAGAAAGTATAATCCAAGGTGAATTTTTAAAGAAAATTTTTCAAAAATTTCAAAAATTTTCAAATTTTTTTTTTGAAATTTTTCAAAAATTTTTCAAAAAATTTTTCAAAATTTTTTTAAAAAATTTTCGAAAAATTTCAAAAAAATTTCAAAAAATTCTCCAAAAATTTTTTCAAAAAAATTTTTTTCCAGTGAAAAATTCATTCTCTCTGTGAGTATAATTGCCGATGTTGAACAATGTCCAGAAACTCCACCTCCATTAGAACCAACAAATAATGACAAAAATAATAATTTTAACAAAAATATAAGAGAAGGCTTTGGACAAGAATTTGTTTATGGGACTGCTGTACCTACTAATGTTTAAGAAAAAAAATTTTTTTTAGAAGTTTGGTCAGAGTTGGGATATCTTAGCTAGAGAGGATATATATTCCCTGCTTTCTAGAATCACCCCATTTTCAGTTCAAATCGGAGAACATGAAATTTCCAGAGAAAATTCTTAAAAATTTTTAAAAAATTTTCAGTAGCATAACCCCAATTTTTTCATTCTTTAATAACTGCCGATTCCCTCTCTCTCATTTCATTTAAATTTGGTATTTGGACAATTATTTGTTTATTGGTATACAGTCGTGGAAAAAAGTATGGAAGCGCTAGTAAATTTCTTTTTATTTTTTAATTTTTTATTCAAAAAATATGTTTTATATACCAATCGAAAGCTCTATTCGCATCTCAGTTGACGTGTTTCTGCATTTTTTATGAAAATGAAAATTGGCCGAGATAATCCGGATCTACCGGATATACCAAATCCCATTTTTTCGCAAAAATTTTTCGGAAGAAATTTAACAAACCCAAATGATAAAGCATATTTTTCTGAGTATTTTCACAAAACCGCTTAGAAATATCTTTTTCCGGAGCAGAGATATGATTTTTTGAAAATGGCATTTTTCGCTTAAAAATTGAATTTTTTGCAAAAATAGACGAAAAATGCAATTTTTAAAAAATCATATCTCTGCTCCGGAAAAAGATATTTTTAAGCGGTTTTGTGGTAAATGCTCACAAAAATATGCTTTATCATTTGGGTTTGTTAAATTTCTTCCGAAAAATTTTTGCGAAAAAATGGGATTTGGTATATCCGGTAGATCCGGATTATCTCGGCCAATTTTCATTTTCATAAAAAATGCAGAAACACGTCAACTGAGATACGAATAGAGCTTTCGATTGGTATATAAAACATATTTTTTGAATAAAAAATTAAAAAATAAAAAGAAATTTACTAGCGCTTCCATACTTTTTTCCACGACTGTAAATCCACACATATTTTTACTCTTTTTTCTGGTCACCACTGCCTTTATTTTTAAATATTTTATTTTTTAAAAATTCCAAAAAAAATTTTCAAAAAAATTTCTTCCCCTTTTTTATTATTTTCCTGCCATTTTTCACCAAACGCGTGTGCATTTTTTCTTATTAATCTTAATTAATCACACCAACTTTCATTTTTTTTGTATTTTCTAATCACAGTTTAAGCCTTAATTTTTTGAATAAAATTTTAATTAATTTTTGTTGTTTCGACGCAGACAAGATTTCGGCGCGGGTTAATAAAAATGTCTATTATTGAAACGGTAGTGCGAAACTTGCGGACCGACTTTTGCGGACCAGGGGTTTATGTTTTTGTTTTTCTATCGTAACTTTGTCCAAGCTTGTACAATCACGATGATTTTGATGTCATTCGACTCAGCTCATCGAGCTCTTTCGAATCAGCTATGTTTCGAGAAATTCGTCGGGTCCGCAAGTTTTTGTCCGCAAAAGTCGGTCCGCAAGTTTCGGCCAGCCATTGAAACCCTAGAGCAACAAAATTTTGCTCAAATATTCTTTTTAGCGGTATCTATTTTGTCCAAAAATTTTATAATTTTTGGTCCATTAATTCTAAAGTTATGGACAAAAATATAAAAATTTTCGAGGAAGTTGTCGATTTTTATTGGGTTATGTCTGGATTTTTGACCATAACTTCAGAAATACTTAACCAAAAATTCTCAAATTTTTAGACAATCTAGATACCACTAAAAAGAATATTCAGACAAAGTTTCATCCCTCTAAGGCTAATATAGGCACTTTTATAAGACCGCGCCGAAACGACCTCCTAGTCAAAAATTTAATTACCACTCATTAAATTTTCTAAAAAATATTTTTTCCTCAAAAAGAAAAATTTTAAATCGCTCTCAATTTTGTATTTCCTGCCATTTAAAAAAATAAAGATGAGTTACCAGCGGTATTTCCACAAAAGAAAAATGATGGGAAAAAAAGAACAGACTCAAAAAATAGACAAATACAAAAGGATATAAAAAATGGGGGGGGGGGGGGGGGGAATATTGACCAAAAATAAGGGGGAGGGAAAGGAAAGCGTCGCTTTTTATGGTAGGTAAAAGGATATTCTTTCATAGAGTGAAAGTAGAAAAAAACTGAAAAAAAAATGCCTTTTGCCATAAAACCCCCTTCTTAATTCCTCTATCCCTTTTTATTCCTTCCACTCTGCGCACACCTTTTATTTTTGTTATTTTTACTTTTTTTTGCCCAAAATAAAAATAAAACAAAAAGTTTTTTCTAAGATAATCTTTAGATTATACAGAATTTCTTCAAACTTTTCGAGCCACTTTTCCACAGACAGCGGAAGTTTTACCTTTAATCCTGTCAGCGCACCTCAAACTTTTCCGGAGGGCATCATCCCTTTCAAACTTTTTCTCTCTTCCATGGTTTCTGGGAAATAAATAAAACAGAAACTGAAAGAATGTTGCTTCCTACAGCCCCTTGTATCTATAAGTAAGTCCAAGACCATACGTTCTCTCCCTCTTATCTCAACAATGACTCTCTATCTTACGAACAACCCTCTACTTATCCCATGTATTTAGAATGTCTTTCAAGCCTTGGGAAAAGAATAAAGGATTAGATAGAGCATATCCAACAGTCCCCCGATTGAGTTTGTTCGATAAAAAATTCTAAAACTTGACTCGTAAACTGACAAAATTTCACTCCTCTAGGGCAAAATTGAGTTTTATAAGCTCGCGCCGAAACGTCCTCCAAGTCAGAAAAATTCGAAAACTTGTATGAAAACTCGATCGGCTGAACCTCTAATTTAACCCTAAACAATTTTAGATTATTAAATATATAATTAAAAATAAAATTCAGAAAAAATGAATTATTAATTCAATTCCTCACTAAATAAATTATTTATTTTCCCCTCAAATTTTCCCAAAAAAAAAGGAATGGTTATTATTAAACAAACAACAACAAAAACAAATTTCTCAAAAATAATAACAATTTTTATGACCTCAATTTTCCCTTTTTTGTTTGGTCTCACAATGGGACAGTCCACCTGTGTTTTTCTCAAACAAAAATACCCCCAGTTTTTATTTTACAATGTGCCCGATGAACCAAGAAGAGGTGAAATAATAAAGAGAATATTATTAATTATTTAGAAAAATTCTAAAAAAAATTTTGTAGAGGTTAGAAAACCCATTAAGGGTGTTTCGGAAAAATTTTAACACAACTGTTACCTCTAGGCTATTTTAAAGACTGCGCCGAAACGTCCCCTAGCATTTAACTTCACTGTGTATCTGTGGCTAAGTTGGAAAATTTGGAGTTTTCAGGAGGTAAGGTCGAAGGTTCGAGTCCCACTCAAGGGGAACAAAACTTTATTAAATTTAAATAGTCTGAAAAGTTAATTTCTTAATAAATTTTATTTTTAAAAATTTTTTACCCAAAAAATTTCCAGCCTCCAACCTCTCAATATGTCAGTCAAATACCCCAACTTGCTGTACATCCCAAATGGAAGAGGAATTTAGTCTTTTGACTGAAACAGAATTTAATCAAAATGTTAAATCACAAATTAGATTAATTCACCAATTTTTTAGTTATTCAGCTACAAATTTTAAAAGTTGGGAAAATTTTAAGAGAAAATTTAAAAATTTTATTTTTAAAGGCCATTTTAAAGAAGGATTTAATAATTCAATGGCAGCTTTACGAAAAATTTTTAGGAGGACATATGGACAGTTTTATGTTCAAAATAAACAGGTACATAATTAAAAGAGAGAGAAAGGGAGATTATAACAATTATAGTACCCTTCTCGGTCTCTTGGGAAAAACTAGGGGAGAGGAGAATAACTGAGAGATTAAGAGAGGGAAATTGCGATTAGGATTGCACCCCAAACGCTCAGGGGGTACGAGGGCGGGGTGCAACTCTAGCTGGTATAATAGTTGGGAGATGGATCGAGGACAACTATAAAGGTGTCGGAACTTGGAATAGCTCAAATTTTGAAACTCGGAAATTTAAAAAATCTTGGAACTCGGAACTTGAAAAGTTTCGGAGATTGTAAGTGTTAATCGGGATTCCAACCCTCTCTGATTGGGAAGTATTAATTACTATTTGAAATTTATTTTCAGATTTTTAATAAATTTGTCAATGATTCTTTACTCGTTTTTGAACAAGGAAATGGTTGTTTTATTGAGGCTTTACAACAACTTTTTAAAAGAATATTTTTAACAGAATTTTCTCTTCTAAATCCTTTAGTTCGGAAATTTTTTCAATTTAAATCTCTCCTTAATTTTAAGCGTTCAATTGATAAAGAAAAACAACAGATATTAAATTGTATTATGTCACTTTTCCCAATTTTAAGGCCTTTTGGTTCTGGGCCAGAAGCTATTTCGCAATTGACTGGGAGGGCGTTTAGAATTTGGTCATCAACAATTTTTGCATTAGAACAAATATCTCAAAATTTACAAGTTTTGGAAAAGGCAAATTTTATGAGATTGAATCTATCTTATCCCAAGTCTTTCAATCCGGGATAACTAAAAGCTTGGGGCATATACAGGGCTGTGCGCCAAAAATTTTTCGCATGGAACGCCAAATGCCATGACTCTCAGCTCAGCCCTGATATATAGAGACGTCTGGGAAAGAAACAAGAGACGATAATAGGGGACAAAGCTGAATAGGATAGAGCTTGGGATATTTGGAGAAGTATAGAGGACAAGATAGAGAGGATAACTTAGATATTGGGACTCATGAGATAATACTTAAAATACTTTTAGAATTTTTCTACACCCAAAAGTTGTTTGCCTCAACTAATCCAAATAAGGCATTGCGGAATATGTACAGGAGGTGATCCATCCCTTCGACCTTGTGCCGGTAAATGTCAAAAAGTATATCACGAGTGTATTAATGAATTGTTGATATTGGATGGGCAATGGAGGATACTTATAGGTCTTCTCAAAATTTTTCAAAAATTTCTAGAAAAATTTTCAAAAAAATTTCGGAAAAATTTTTTCAGAAAATTCAAAAAAATTTTTCTTTAGATATCCTCATTGAAATTAGCAGTTATTTGCACGTTCACAACCCCTACCTCGTATTCAGACCATTACCAGCACAAATATCAGATGCTATAATGTACTATCAAGAAAGGGGAGAAATAATTTCTAATCAAATAATTTTTCGTTGTTATGGAGAAAATTTTGAAAAATTAGCATTGAGAGAAAAAAGGGAAAATGAAGAGACTGGCAGAGAAAATGAAAGGGAGAGAAGAGAGAATAATTTTGACTACTGTAATTATTCTGATTTTAATTCTTCTGTTAAGAGAAAAACAAAAAAGCTGGATTACATCAATTTTAAAACTTTTAATTTAAAAGCGAGAAGAACAAAAATTGCTGTAGAACAATTTAAAGATAGGGTGGGCAAAAAAATTTTTTTTTGAAATTAAAAAAAAATTTTTTTAGTTATTAAATATTAGAGGACTGTGGCATTCTTTTCCCCGCCTAATTTGTAGAGAGGGAGGAATTCAAGCTAAACCGGGAGAAAAATGTTGGAATGGGGAAAATTTTTATTTTGAAGATGTTCAGTCTAAAATTAGAGAAAATGCAACAATTAATGGCAACAATAATGGTGAGAGATTAACTATAAGTATAATCTTATCTCTTCTAATCTACATATAAATTCATTTTTCTATCCTATTTTCCCTTTAGTCGGGGAGGCGAAGAAAAAAGTGAACAGAGGCAAGTCGAAATTCTGATTGCCAACATACTTTTCTTATGAATGTCCTTAAATTTATGATGATTTTCAAATTTTGAGCCAGTTCCGATTTCCAGCACCTCCGTTATTTCCCCGATCCCTGAATGTACCTCAATCTTCTAGTTATCCCAGAGACGATTTGAAGAGATAAAAAGTCATCATAAAATAAATATAAAATACTATTTTTAATTTTTAGCAACAAAAACAATGTTACAAATCCAAAAAACGGTTGAATATTTAGTTAGACAAAATGAGGAATTATTTTTATTAGAGGCTATAAGACAAAGAAATGTTGAAAATAATGAGGTAAATCAAATTAAAAATAAATTAAAAGAAAATATTATTTAGAAAAATAGTGAAGATGAAAAGGTTATTAATTATTGGGATGAAGAAACTAATTGGGATGTTGAAAGATTAGAGGGTTCTAAAGTAAAAAGGAATAGGGCAGCAACTACTAGAATTTACCAAATAAATATTTTATTATTTTTAATTTTTGTGATAATTATTATTAATTTTGTTTTGTAAATTTAAATTTTTTGAATAAATTTATTTTAAAGTCACAATTAAAAGCAAGGTCTAAGAACAACATATAGTCAATGTTGAAGGTTCGATACTTGCCCAATGACCAAAATTTTACCTAAACTTCAAATTACGCGACTTTCGGAGACTAGGTACATCCCTAATAGATAGAATATTCTTGATTAGAGTTGTCGATTAGGAAAACCAAACCGAAGAACCGTGCATTTTTCGGTTCTGTTCCGGAAATCTAAATAGGTCCTCAGAAACAACACGCCTATTCTCGATATTCTATTCTTGATATTCTTAAATAATTGGTAAAAGGTCAAAAAAACTATTTAAAAGAAAATAAATTTTTTCGAATTTAAAATTTTCAAATATTTTAATCAAAACTAAAATTAAATTTTAAAACAAAAATAAATCTTTTCTTTTTAACAAACACCTTTCCCAGGTTCTAATTCCAAATCTAATTCATCCAATTTATCATCACGCGTATGTTTGAAAGGAAACGGTTCCCAAGTTAAATGAGGGTCGTTTAAGTGTGTATGTGGAATACTTTCTGGTTCAAACAAAATAATACCGCTTTCTTCTAATGCTTTTATGAATGCAGAACGCTGAAAGAAAGGAACATTGGGGTTAAAAAAATTTTTTAAATGTAAAAAGAAAATATAGGTATATAACACGTATGTAAAATTTGACACGTTTAAAGGAATAAAAAACTGAATAAAGTTAAAAATAAAGATCCGGAAGGAATATTTGAAAAAAAATGAAAGAAAAAATTATGAAAAATAGAGAACAGAAAGTAAAAAGAACGGGGGATACCAACAAGTATGAGCAGCGAAAAAAGAATGTTAGTTCTGATTGTGGAAAGATTTGATTTGAAAATTTAATACGAGAAAAAAAAATACATGAATAAGAAATACGCAAGGTTACGGACCCAAACGTTTTTAAAAATTCTTTAACAGCCATTTAAGAAATTTTTTTAATTAAATAAAAACCAACCCTTTTGCTTCCTTCCAATTCCTCAGGAGTTATTCCAGAAGTAATATATTTAATTCCAGCCATAGCACATCTATGAGCTAACAATCTTCCAATATTTTGTGCAGCCGAAACATCTGTTGGACTTTAAAAAATAAAATTGAAATAAAATTAAAATAAATTAAGGAACCTATAAAGTTGGTTTCGAACAGATTTTTCATTTGTAGAGGCTTCAATAATTGCTTGGCCACGTTCATAATGCACAATACTTGCAGTTGTGGAATTTTTGGTAACGGTGAAGTCGACTCTTAAATTCAAATTTTAGGAAAAATCAAAAGGAATCGTTCGTGGAGGGTGAACAATTAAAGTTAGAGACAGGTCGGAAAAAGAGCAGGTTCTCCACCAGTTCAGAACCCGGAAGTTTTGATATAATCCAGTTTAGGGCGCTTGGTCAGGAAACCCCGGCCCGAGTCAGTTCGAACGAAAACGGATACATAGTCCGGCGCTTTAAGTTTCTGGATAGAGCCCAAAGCAAAAATTAAAATAGGGATGGTAACCTAATTGTAAACTTGTACCAGACATCCACATACTCCCCCTTCCTAAAACCATATCTTTAAACAAAAAACCTGTAAATATAATTTTTCCGCATTCTGTCCTTCTCAAACTCCCATCCATCTGGTTTTCGTAACAATCTACACATCTCCATATTTCTTGGATTTTTGTTCACAAAACGTTGAGCGAATTTAACAGAAGTCATTTTTCCTTTGGTATTTTACAAATAAAAATATTAAAATTAAAAAATTAAATATTTATAGTAATCTCCAACAAATATTTTCAAAAAATAGTCAGTGAATGAATTAATTTAATCGTAATATGAATTAATAAAATAATACATTATAGTAATAATGAAAAACAATGGAAGACAGACATACACTATTCGTTTAAATAACACAAAAAAATTTAATATTGATTCGAGGAAGAAAATGATTTTTAAAAGAGAAAATAAACATCATAAACCCAAGAGATTTCCAAAAATATATTTCCAAAAAAATCTCATTTTTCACCAAAAAATCGAATTATTAACCATAAAGCTTCAAAACAAACAAAAAACAATTTAATCTAGCGTATAAATACATGGTGAAGCAACTGAAGTACTGTCAGAAACATCCATAGAATTTGGGTCAAAATAGTTATTGAGCGAACGTGAACGTTGATTATTTTGATTATTAGTACTCACTTGAATAATTTCAACATCATCATTGTCCTCTGGATCAAGTCCAATTGCAAAATTTGAATTACTTGACCTGAAAAGAAATATTGAATATTTAAAAAAAATTTTATAAGTGCAACAACTCCCTTGCTTCTCAATACAGAAAATCCCAAAAATAAAAAGGAGGCAGAAGTAATGACTCGAGGACTATTTTTGCTTCGTATAGCATCCTTTTCTGTTATACATAGGTTAAATTATGCTATTAATAGCAAAGTATTCCCCAAAAATTTTTTCTTAAAAGATATGCTGATAGTTCAAGAGTCAAGAGACGCAAAGCTTCTAATTGTAAGTCTCGACATTTTTCCCGACCAAAATACATATAGAGTAACTTAAGCTTAACAAAAGAGCAAATGAACTAATTGAAAAGACTGTAACACTTCGAAAAGGTTAAAAATTAGCAAACAATCCCCTGTGAAAAAATTATAAAACTAACGGTGAAGCATTGTTATTGGGTATTTCCATAGAAACAGGACTTTGATGATTGCTTTGAGAACGTCGATTATTACTATTACTTTGACCAAGAACTTCAACATCAACATTACTATTTAAAACCAAAACATCATCATCTTCAGGAAAGAAATCACCAACATAATTTGAACGACGCACACTAAAAAACATAAAATAAATTTTTAAAACAAATAAACCGATATTCCGAATTTTGATCATAAACTTTCAAAGTTTGACCACTCGAAGCAAAATGAAGAAGATTGTTGAGAAATTGGTGTGGATTTTCTATGCCTCGTCGACTTAGAAACGATACAATTTGTTGCCGTTTAAGTTTGGTTGTGAAATAATCCATAATGTTCTCCATATATACATGAATGTCAATAGCATCCTTAAAAAAGAATTATATTAATAAAGAGAACTCGTGGAAATAAGCGGAGTAAAGAATGACGCCCAAGGTAGATAAAAAGGAAATGAAAGCTATATTTGGTTAAAAACATTAATGAAAATATTCGACTAACAAGGGTCAATATTTTCATTGATGTTTTATAAGGGAAGAGAAGCAAGTTTTCATAAAGATCCCAAGACCAGAAATCCCTTTAGATGAAAAACCCGGGAGAAGGCCAACATACCGCGAGCCTAACACACCGCAGAGCTATAACTTTGTTCAGAATTGTCGAATCCGGGACGCCTTGGTATGGTCGATGCGCCTCGACGAGCTGAATCGAACCAGGTTTTCCCGGATTCGATAAAACTGAACAAAGTTATAGCTCTGCGGTAAGTTGGGCGGTAGGTTGGGGTGTACGCGAGAACCCCTCCAAAAATGACTTAATAAACTAAAAAAACCTTTCTAGTCAAAGCACAAATTTCTCTAATCACAAAAGGCGTTATATGTTTCATTACAATATCCTTTAAAAAATCTTGTTAGAACAAATTCTAATTAATTTAAACCTTATTATTCTTTATATAATCCGCATTCAATGCAATATTAAACAAAGGCTGGCAAATCGAACTAGGCGATAAATTCTCTTTATAAACAACACGCCGAAAGGCTGGCGATTTGAATAATTCACCCCTTAAAAGAAATAATAGTGAAAATTAAAAGTTAAAAAAACCTTGCAGCTCCATCGTTAAAAGCAATAAGAAGTTTTTTATATTCGTCAAGCTCTTTGTTAATGGCATCGATGGCATTTTTGAAGATTGTATCACTAAAAGTATTCAATGTTAAGTGGGAATGTGGGATAGTAAATAAGGGTAATAATTAGTAGCCAAAAGTTACATCCAATTTCAAAAGTCGATCGGATTTCCAAGCTCATTTTCATCATTTACTAGACTATGGCAGTAAACGGTAACATTTATCAATATGACCGTGATTAAAAAAAGCTTGTTAAAATGCTCGTTAATTTAAAAATACAGGTTATTCGGTAAAAATCTTGAATGAAAGTGAAGGAAATTTTGAAAACCCCCTTCAAGACCAACCCTTTATTTAATAAGACCTATACCTCGCATAAGTAGTAATCGACATATTTCGCAAAGTATACAACTCTCCAAGCATATGTTTAACCAAATGAATAACTGCTTGTCTCTCATGTTCTGGTTGACGTGCAGATTTTTCCATTAAACGTTCCAATTCATATTCACTTCGCAATTCCATTATATTTTCACTTAAATTTAAGAATAAAAGATTAACCAGCAAGAAAGCTACATTTGCCCTTCAGACTCCCAATTTGGCAAAACAGCATCGTTAACCCATAAGCGATGTTTTAACAATTCCAAAGAACACTTACACAGTGGACAGACAGGTTTAAGTCTGAAAATAAAATTTTTAGACTAAAATCAAAAAAAATTTACCTAGTCCATTCAATTATACAATCAAAACAAAATATATGGTTACAATTATCCAAAACAGTTGGATCGTTCCAATGATGGAGACAAATTGGACAAACACGTTCTTTAGATAAATCTTGTGTGCTCATTTTAAAACTGAAAGGAAAATATTATGAAATATAAATAGTAGTTAAATGTTATATTGGTAAATGTTATATTGGAATTTTTTTCAAAATCTAATTTTTAACATTTTACGCTTAATTTCTCTAAGATTTCTTTCCAAATTTGTGGTTTTTATCATTTTTATTTTTTTATTTAAAAATGTCTTAATTTATTTTTAGATATTTATGAGTATGGAACGCTTGGAAAAATTTCAAAAGAATTTGGTTGAGGAAGTTTGTCGTGGCTTGTTGGGTGAAGAACATTTGGTTAATGATGTTAAAAAAACTTTAAATTTGACTCTCGATCCAAAAAAAGCAAAAGAAATTAGAGAAGCCACCTTGGACCATTTTTCTAAGCTCTCAAAAAAATCAATGGAGAAGGCAGATGAGAAGTACAATGTTAGTTTACTTTTGTTTTTTAAGAATTAGGGACTCAAATCTGACCGTTTAAAATATTTTGAGGAAAATGAAGGGGGAGGGGACGAATTTCAATTTTACCGCCTCATCTTTCCCTTCAACTTTTTTGGCTAAGCGAGTTATTAAAATAAATTCTTTTCAGTTTTCTGGAAAATTTGCTCGTTTGGATGAACAAGTTGATGATAATGAACCCTGTTCTTCTTCGGCTGCTGATGATGTTGACCTTCACAAATCATTCAAACAAGTTACTTGGCCGACTCGACGTGCTCTTCTTTTAGAATATGAGGAAAAACTTAAGGATGAAAAACACAAATTACAAGCTGAATTGGAGGAGGTTTTTTTTATTATTTTGTCTTTAGACGGGTCCTCCTTGAAAAAAATAAGGGGTTTATTGTAAAATTGTTTTTGAATTTTTCATTGATGTCATTTTCGATAATTTTTTGGCTTCACCTCGTCCATTTTTACCTCGAGTTTTTTATTTTTTTCCTCTCTGGAGAAAATCATTTCGGATTTTTTTACTCCCTGTTCATTGCCTCATTTAACACTAAGGGTTGACCCACTAATACAAATGTATATTTATTTAAAAATTTTCAGGAGGAATTGGTGCTGTCAAACATTATTGATGGTGTTGACAAATAATTTATTGGCAATTGACTTTTTAATTTATTTTTTTAGTCCGTAGGGATAATGGAAAAGTACCTGTTTTGTCTTATTTTTCTTTTAAGTGCTATATTTAAATTTTAATTGATAAAATTTTTGCTTTTAAAATATTTTGATTTTAGAAAATGGGTTGATAAAACTTTAGTAATGTCTTTAAAGATTTTTCAACTTCTAATAAATAATTTTAAAATGATTGCTGTGCATGGAGGTGCTGGGTTATTTAAAGAAGGAATAGAGCAATTTTGTGCAACAGCTTTAAAAGATGATGGATTGGGGAAGGCTGGGAATAACTTGACTAGTTCTGATGAAATTGAAGTTGGTAATCGACTTGCCAAAGCAATCATGGTATGTTTATATAAACAATTGGGGCCTTGGGATTTTGTTGTGTTACATTTTTGGATCTTTATTGGGCCAACATAAGTGTGCGTGGGCTGTACTTTAGCCAGTGATCCACTCAGAAACGGGCTGAATTACATATTCGATTTATCTGCGGAAACGCCTACGAGCCGTGATATAGGTCCTCAAAAATCGAAAAACTATAAGGGTGAGTAAGCACATTTTTATGGTCAAAACATTCGAATAAGCAATAGTTCATTCGAAAGAGCTCGTAGAACTGACAATGAGTGGGACACCTAAAAAGTTACTGATTATTAACAGGTACCCCTTGTTATGTGGGAAATCTTCCTAAAGAATTTTCGGGGTTAAATTTTCTCCAATAACCCTTGAATTTATTTTTTATAGTTCAATAGTTTATAGAAACTAGAAAAATGTTCAAAATTCAACTGTGGCTATGGTTCGAATTTAACCGAGGCGGGAACTGTAGAATGCGAAGGGGCTTTCATGTGTTCCGAAAATTTGGCTTTTGGTGGCGTTGCTTCGGTAAATAAATTTTTAGAAAAATTTTAAAAACAAATTTTGAGGTCACAAATTGTGCCCATCCAATTTATGCAGCACACAAACTTTCAATGTCACACAAATCCAATTCAGAAGAGAATGGCTTGATAAAACCTATAGTTTTGGTTGGAAAAGGCGCAAATCAATATTGTGAGGCTTTAAATATTGGAATTGTTTTGAATGAAAATTTGAGGACAGAAAGGGCTAAAAGAGACAGGAATTTGGCAATGAATAGAGTATTTGATGATGAACAGAATGGAGGTTCCATGAACAATATTTCAAGGCTTGACACAACTGGAGGTGTTTTCATTGATGTTAGTAGGATTGTATTATGTAAACTTATTGTTAGGGGGTAATTTGTGGGCTCAACTAAATAAGCGTGAATATTTAAGTGAATCAGGGTCTGGATTTTTGGAGGTGCGAACATCCCAGTCAGTCACCCATATAACACTGCTTGCTTTTAAAATTTGATGCCTGTTTTGTCCGCAAATGTTAATCTACAATCTAGGGGTACCCTATTTTAGATAATCTGTCCTATCACAAAAATCTTTTTAAAAAATCCTTCTACAGGAAAATGGTTATTGCGAAGCTGGTGTCTCTAGTGGTGGTATACTTCTCAAAAAGGAAGGTCGCTTAGGACATTCTACCCAATTTGGAGCTGCAATATGGGCTGAAAAACGTGAAAAAGCATCAATAGCAATTTCACTTTCTGGGTGTGGTGAAACTTTAATTAGAACACATATGGCTGAAATAATTGCAGAATTTTTCTTTTCAAAGTTTGATATTTTTTTCAATTAAAAATTTTTTTTTAATTTTTAGCGATTTGGAGGACCTATTTTTACCAGAAAAAATAAAAAATTTTCTAGAAGGAGAATCTTTTTTAAAATCAAAAAGACTACAAACATTCCCTGCCAGCTACCTTTTGTTGGGAGGAATCGCAGCTGTTCAATCTAACAAAATTTCGACACTTTACGCTTTCCACAATTCTGTCCATTTTCCAATAGCTTTTAAAGGTTCAGACCAAAAAATTCGGAAATTTAATTCAAAAAATGAAAAAGTTGGAAATTTTGTCTGCAATTCATTTATTTTGTAAATTTAAATAAAAAATTAACTTTTTAAAAGAATATTTTACTTAACAATCCAAAAAGTTGGCAGCCATTAATAATTCTAAAGCCAGTTCCGGAGCCACATGAAATTCCTATAAAAAATCTCTGTTAGATTAATATAGAATAATTTTGCTACCAATAATCAACGGGTCCAGGTCTCTATCACTTTGTAAAAGTCAGAAAAATCGTGAGGGATGGATGTGGAATCAGCCTCCTTATCTTTGAATTTTCCCCGATGTTCTTTTGAAGAAAATTTCCAAAAATTTGACTCCCATGGGGCAATACCAACTAATATAAACTAAAATTTTGATCGTGGTCTTGAATATGATTTTGGCCCAGATTAAAATGAAGAATGGAATTTTTAAAACACCTCTCCAAAATTATAATAAAAATTCAAACCGGTATTTCCGTAGCACTGTTTGTATATTTTGTTTTATATGCAAAATAATGGCACACTTTTTGCAGTACATGAGACGGAATCTCTCTAAAATTGACTTCATTCGTTTCATTTTCAGCATACTGTCCCGGTCCAGAAAGCATTGCACGAATTGTATGAGAAATTAGAGCGTGCTCCTAAAAAATTTTTAAAAATATTTCCAAGTTTTTAAGAAACCTTTCGAACAAAAAATTCGTGTCCATCACTGCTAACCAATTTTACATAAGCAGCATTTGGGCCTTCACACCCACCCATTAATCGTTCCTTGTCGTTGCTGTCAACATCAATGTCTTGGCCACTCATTTTCTTTTATAATTTGCTTAAAAAATAATTTTTTTAAAGGATTTTAAAGAAAACATTGGTTAATAAAACCATTTTTTTAAAATAAATTTAAAAAAAATTAAAGTCAATTTTATATTATGAAAACTTTAAAAGTCTATGAGGCGTTGAGGCAACGAGAATATAGGCATATTTTTGAAATTATACATAGGTGCTAGAGATCGGAAATTTTGAAAAGCCTGGACCAGTTCCTGGACTATGGAGTTTGATTTATTGACATGGACTGGATCGTGGGCCAGTAGTACAGGAAACCCCCAGGAAGGTCAAAAATGCCTGTATCTGGACTCTGGGTACAGGAAAAACCCTGGCCTTGGTCCAGACCCAGGCCGATCTCTAATAGGTACTAAAAAATCAAAGGAGTACAAAAACTATATCTGTGTAAATATGAGAGCGGTTTCTAAAGTCAAAGAAGGGTAGAAATTTAAAAAAATCGAGTGGGCAGACCTAAAGAAAAATCCTTTCCGACCTAAAACCGCTCTCTTAAATTTAAGGCTAAATAAAAAGTCATCTTTTAATCCCTCAAAATAACTGATAAACCATTTTGTTACAATTTTGATTTCTCTTTCAGTCTACCCGTTCTTTCAACTAAATCATGCATATCTAACAACGCCGTTTCTAATTCTTTAGAAAATCTAAAAAAAGGAACACAAATTTTTTTGTAATTATTTAAAAAAACCTTTCAGCACTAGTCTCTTTACATTCATTAAAGGCTGTTATTGTAAAAAATATTTTGTGTTCTTGTGGATTGTAACAAACTCCATAACAATCTGGTGCTGATGGACCGAAACCTATAATTTTTAAATTTTATATAAGCAGATTTATTGATAAAGAACTCATGAAAGAATGAAACCTTGTAGATTAAAAATATGAGCCCAAAGAAGAGTCAAACAATTTTAAAACTTTTTTGGTCTGGTGTCTATAACCCGATACTCTTTAAAACAAACTTTTCTCTTAAGGATCCGAGGAATTAAACTGCTATAAAAAAAGCTTGGTATTGCTCCAGATGGAGCTACTCAGAAAGTTTAAAAAACCCCTTTAGCCTGAACCAAGATCTGAAAAAGTTCGTAGCAGAAGCTATAAAACACTTAAAATACCCAACACTAAACTTCACTTAAATTATCAATCAAATTAAAAAAACAAACCCATTGGAAGAACATGTTTTGTTGGTACTTGTGATGTACTCAACTTAAAATGCATCAATTTTTGATAACCAATAGAATTAAAAATTTGAGGGATACGCCGCCAACCATCTTCTAATGAAGCCAATTTTAATCCCAATAAATGTCTATCAATTCCATTACCTTTTAAAATTAATTTTTAAAAAATTCCAAAAAATTCCCAAACCTTCCATAACATCCAATGAATATTTTTTATGTTTATCTATTGCCGCTTCCAATAAAGTCAACAAAACATTGTCACTCATTCTTCTAGGTCTAGCAGATATTTCTTCCACAAAAGCAACAGATTCTGTTGTTGGAAGACGAATTGTGTCAGTTCTGCCTTCCACAAATTTTCTCAAAGTTCCAGTCTCATAAGTTGGTGGATGGATTTTGTGAATTCGATAATGTGCAATTTGTAGGGCTAATTGAATCCAAGAATCGGGAGAGAGCTGCGAGCGTTTAGGAACATTTTTGCCATAGGCATTGAAGGCTAAGGACTTGACTTCAAGGTTTTGTACAACTCTAAAAAAATTTTTTTGTTTTAAAGACGGATTTAAAATAATTTAAAAAGGAATAGCAACAAGATAGGAGACAAGGAAAGAGTATTAGAAAACTTATTATAATTTAAATGATTCTAGAAATAAGTTCGGAAAATGGTATTTTTGGGATTTAAGAAAGTCTCGAGATTCTCAAAAAATCGAAAAAAATATTCTAACAAGGGAACCTTATGAACTGTCAGTCAAAACTCAGTTTTTCTGGTACCACTCAATATATCCCCAATTTTTGCCAAACTTTAAAGCTCCATAACCTTTTAGTTTCATATTCCTAGGAGAAAGGTCAAAAATTTTCTAGAGTAAATCGGTGATGCTCTATCGATTGGTACCAAAAGAATACAAAGTTTTGACTGACAGCTTGTGAGGTTCCCTCGTAAGATAATTATTTCGTGTCTTATCCACTTTCAACACTACTGGGCAAAAAAGGAATAACTTAAAAATTACCCAATAAATCTCAACAGTTTAGAACCACAAAAAAATAAAAATTAAAACCTTTCCAATTTCTCTTCTGCTCTTCCTATTTCTACAGCATCCTTCAATTCTAATTTAAACTTTATGTGTTGAGGAGGAAATAAAGGATGGCCAGAGTCTAATTCGAAATTGTTGGCATCTCTAAAAATTAAAAAAATTTTTTTCTTCAATTTACAAACAAAAAACCCTTACATTTGATCACAAATAAAATCTAAAAGGCGAGCAAGTGGAGGTCCCTCCGCTGGTGTGTGTTCATAAGTTATACCAGCATAACCATTCTCGTTAACATAAAACTAAACAAAAATTCAGAAATTTTTTTAATTTCAAAGAAAACCTGCAACGTTTTATCAAACCAACGATTTCTTGAATTTTTGTTAGCTCCACCTCCATGTAGTGCCATTGACATATTCTCGTCCTGAGCATTTTTAAGTTTTTCCTTCTTTTCATATGATTTATCTGATTCATCTAGACACATGATAAAAAGGGAGTCTTCCATAATTTTAATACTTTCAGGATTGTTCTCTAAAAAATAAAAAATATTTAAATAGACTAATTTTAAATTTTTTAAAAATAATTTAGGGGAAAAAAATTTTACAGGTAGCCGTTAATTTTTTGAAGGTTTAAGGATTTTTCGACAAAATAAGAAAAAAATATACACAGTTTTTCCTACAAATTCCGGAATTTAGATTGAATCGAGATTCTTCTGAATAGGAAAAATAAGAACTGAAGTTGAGTATTCTCAACGGACCCGGTTTGGCATAAGACATGGTTTTTATAAAGAATTATGTCCAAAAAAGAAAAAAATTAAAAAAAAGAATTGACAACAGAAAAAACAAGTTTAGAGTAAATTAAAATAAATTTAAAAAACCTTTAACTCTTGCATAAACTTCTGCCCATGTATCACGATCAGTACTAGACACAATATTTATTGCTTGAGTATTTGTAAAAAATACACCTCGCATAATTCGATCCAATTCCTTTTTTAATTTGGTAATGCTCAAAATTCTACCAGAATCGTCACAAACAGAAACTTTAAAAATCTGAAAAAAAATTTTAAAAAGATTTTTAGAAATTTTGAGAAATTTTTGAAAAATTCCAAAAAAAGTCCAAAGGAGCTAGAATTTCCCAAAATAAAATTGATGAAAATGTTAATCCCCAAAAATAGCCAAATATTTAAAAAATTTTAAATTCAAAAAATTCCCTAAGAAAAAATTTCCAAAAAAAATTTTTTTTTCACCGCCAATATTTTTTTCCAAAATTTTTAAATTAAAAAAAAATTTAAAAAAACTAAACAAACATTTCCACGCCACATAACCAAAATATATTCAGCCCATATCTTTTGGTCCTTTCCATAGCGTATTTCATCTTTTCTTAATTTGGGTATTCTTGTAGTTCCAAATAAAAGTTTGTATTGTTCCATGTCAAATAAAACGTGACCGTGTCCTTTATCTGGAGCCAAATCGTTTCTTAAAAAAGGTGGGTAATAGTGTCATTTTCAGGTCCCTTTTTTCATCCCAAAATTTTTCTTATATATGTACAAAATGGTCAGACTTTTTCATTACTTCCACCCCAACAATGGCGCACACCCAATGTTAGCCCCTCGAAACTGACACTTTGATACACCCTTGCATCCCAATTTGTCTTTCTATATTTTGCTTACAAACAATCAAAATTCAGATCTTATTTGCGAAAGAACTGAATAAAAAATAACCCTTTTGATTGTTTGTAGGCAAAATATAGAAACGGCAATTGGGATGGAAGAAAGGAAAAAGTCTGACCATTATGTACATATCAGGAAACTTGGGGAGGAAAAATCAGGATCTAGCCGACATAAAAATTAAATTCACGATTTCCGGAAATAGAGATCCCGACCAAAAAACCGACGGGAATTCCTGTTTTTCGGGGATCGAGTCGGTGTGAAAAAAATTGAGGAGGAAAAAAGGTAGACCAGGAAATGACAATTAAAAAAGGTTTATAAAATAATTTTAAAAATAAAATTAACGTCAAAATTTTGTGATGAAACAAAAGTGCCGATTGAATAATTTTTGCAGCCAAGTCAATCACCTCGTCTCTTCCAGAAACAGAATATGGAAAAGTAACGCCAGGACTGGTAATGACGGGAAGTGGTGTTCTAGCTGATAAGTAGGCAATATCTAACCACCAAGGAGTTAACTTTAAAAGAAAAAATTTGTTTAATTTTGACATTTTAACCCCTCCATCCCGAATTTAAAATTTACTCAATTAATTATAAAAATTTGAATCTCAAGCAAAACTCTAGAATAACTAAAGCTAGAATGATATGGGTAAGAAGGTATGTGCTCCACCCATTTTGCGATTTTCATCATGTGAAGTCTAGTGATCGAAGTAAGAAAAGCCCGTGCCTTTTTATGGACTCTGGGTACAATAAAAACACAGGCCTTGGTCCAGACGCTCGATCACTACTGAAGACACATTTTTTAAGAAAATAGCAGCGTCTTTCAACGCTTGCTTGTTGCTATAGTCTTATAAACCCAAAAATAATTTTTTCATTTAAAAACAATCTAAACAAACCCAATTATCCAGTTTTTGAGCTCTTCTCTCCAGCATTTTTTGCAACTGTTTTGCCTCGATACTTTCCTTGAACTCGTTAGCAGTCTACAAAAATAATTGTGTATTTAATTTTAAATTAAAAAAACCTTTAAAGTCTCCCCATAATCTTCAGGTCCAAGTATAGGCTTACAAAATTTCAAAAATTTTTCGATTGTGTGCTCCAATTGGGGAACCGGCAATTTTGGTAAATTGTTTCCCGTTGTTTCTGTTGTAGCTGCATTATTTAATTTAATTTTTGGAGTGGTCGGATCAACTAGAAAAAAATTTTTTTTCAAAGAAGAATTTTTTAAAAATTAAAAAAAAACTTCTCATCCTCTCAAAAGTTCTCAGATTAGAGCGAGGCACGAGTTTGAAATTGTAGGAAGACGATAATACTTTTTTGTATAATTGGCTGATGGTCATTCTAAAAAATATTTAAAATTAAAAAAACAGGACAGAAATTAAACAAAACCAGCTGTTAAAGTTTTTTAGAAAATCACTGAAAAATTCGAAACACCCCGTTTTGTCGCCAAACAAATTTAATGGCCTTTTTGGTGCTTAAATTAGTCGCTAATTTTACTGTTAATTGAGAGAAAATAGATTGAAAGGCTTCAATAAACATATTTTTTATTTTTTTTGAATATTTTTATGGATAAACTGAATCACCATAATCTGCCTGTCTTCCTGATCAGAAATGTCTCAGGGTGCGAAAAATTTGGATTTCGGGTTGAGTTTTAAAATTTTATTCGGATCGGGCTTCGGATCTAAAAAAAGGTTCCCTAACGTTTCGTCACTGAACTTTTCGTCACCGAACCTTTCGTCAAAACCTTTCGTCACTGAACCTTCCGTCACCAAACCTTTCGTCACTGAACCTTTCGTCACCAAGACTTTATTTTTAAAAATCAAATAAGAAGTTGTCAAAAATGACAAATTGATCATAATCGGTAATTTAGTTATATTTACTGTGTTGCTAAATGATAGGAGACAGTACGTAGGTACCCAATTGGGTCATTAGCTCGCTGAGCAAATTCAGCAAATATTTGAATTTGCTCAGCGAATTTGCTCTACGATGACGTGAATAGTGAACAACTGTCCAAAGCCTCTTGGCGATGTCTACAGTAATTAAATACAAAAATGTTAAGTAGGGAAATATAGTTGACTTTATAACCAGAGTCAACATACCTTAAACGTTCCATCGATGGATATTTCCTGACGGTATACGTCAAGCAAATTCAGAGTTCCAGGCGTCGCAAATACAATTACTTTTCTCTGTTGTCCGGCAATATTGGTATTCTCATTTAATATTACATATTCTTGTAAATATTGAGGGATAATTATCTGTAGCGGATTTATTGAATTTAAGTCTATGTCGCCTAGTGCTTCTTCTGCCTTTCGTTTTGAAACACGATATTTCTTACTCATAGCAGAAGCTGAAGGAGCATTAGCACGAGCATCTTCTGAAAGAATTGCCCGAGCCATATCAACGGCGTCCCTTGTTACAACCGGATTAGGCCCTACAGCAAGTTGTCTCAAGCGCTCGAATGCCTCACGTATCTAAGAAAAAAATACTCCGGAAAATATGATTTACCTCTTTTTTGTAAGGCTCAGCATTATGTGAATGGTTAGCATTTTTTATCCATCCGATTTTAAAACGGTTCCCGTCCCCTTCATGCCATGCTGACGCGACATGGATACGGCCCGGATAGAAATACTTAAATAAAAACCAAACATAATCCATACTTTTGGGCATTTCCAATATTCAACTTGATTATCCACGGCAGAATAACGTTCAAACTGGTATTCAAAGCCGTCACGAGTTAAGAGAGATGAACCTCTTTTAGATTTTACTTCAATAAATTCGAGTAAATCCTCCATCTCCTCGGAAGATGAAGAAAAAATTTGCCCCTCATCTGATGATGAACCTACGTCCATTTTAGCGAATATGAGTAAAAAAATTTATGAAAATAATTTTTTAGTAAAAATAAAAATAGTAAATCAAAATAAATTTATTTCACTTAACATCCTTATTATTATTTGTTTTTTATCAAAAAGTTATTAATTTTGTTTATTATATTTCATCTTCATTCATATGACTTTCTTTTATTCAACTTAATTTCCATAAATCTATTTTGTTAAATTTGTCCATCCAGATGTGCATTCTCTTTTTTATGGTGAATAGTGACGAAAGGTTCAGTGACGAAAGGTTTGGTGACGGAAGGTTCAGTGACGAAAGGTTTTGACGAAAAGTTCGGTGACGAAAAGTTCAGTGACGAAACGTTCGGCCACCCTAAAAAAAGTCCGGGTTTCGGGTATCGTGTTTCGAGTAACCCTTGACATCCCTGTCCCTGATAACACGATACTTCCACATATACCGATTATATCTAACGGGATTCCAAGGCAAATCATTTAGAAAACATAACAAAAATATTTTTCTAAATTTTTTAATCAAATAAAAAATTTTCTAGCAAATAACAATGATTTATCCAATAAAAAATAAATTTTCAATTTCAGAAACCGAGTCGGCTAGACTTTTGGTCAATAACAATTAGAGGTCGGTAAAATCGCATTTTCGTGATTGCGAAACGGGATTTTTTATAAAAATTTTTGCAGGACAAGATCCCGCGGGATTAACCCCCCGTAATCCCGTTCATCACGTAAAACACGGCATTTCGGGACAGGTGTCTCTTCTCGTGCCGACCTCTAAAATCCATCCTGTCCCGTGCCGACCTTTAATAAGCATCTTTAATCTAATTAATCTACAATTAAAAAAAATTTTTTAAAAATTTAATTTAAGCTAGTCTAAATCCCAAAATTTAATTTTATTTAATTTTCCCATCATTAATATCAATTACGAATGGAGCAATCATCCCAAAAATTTAATTCCCTCCTCTTTTTCGACGAATAGATTTAGCAATAGTTTCAAGGAAAAATTTCTTCCTCGATTCATTAAAGCTTAAAATATTTCCTCGCTGCTCTTCTGCCTTAAGTTGATAGTATTTGTTGGGACTAAAAGAAATAATTTAAATTTTTCATTTAATTTTCGAAACTAAACCCATTCAAAATATTTTTGATGGCGTGAAACAAAGAACGTCCAAAATTTTCATAATTTCTATTAACATAATCCACTTTAATATAAATTCCAATCCCCAACTGTTCAACGATGGAGGCATTGTAGAATTGATCACCTCCGTCCGGAATACAAATTATAGGAACTCCGGCATACATTGCCTAAAGAAAAAAAGTTTCTTGTAACCTTACGTCTTGCACTCTTATTTTATGCTGGCACGAGGTCGAGGTTTTTTGCAAAAACCAAGGCCGAGAATTACCGAGGCTTGAAAAGCCGAGATCGAGGTTCAAGACCCGAGGCCGGTCAATCCGAGACCGAGATTGCAAATTGGGCGAGGACCTAGGCCTCGGCAAGGCCGCGACCTCGTGCACCCCTATTTTATACTAGAGACAATAAGAGAGATAAAATCTGAAAGGATTTTTATCATTTTATCAGATACCTTTGAGCTGTATATTCCCTTTGAGCTGTAAATCGTATCCAGATTTTCCCTTGATAAAGGTATGTCTCAAACTATACCTCATTTATACTATTCTGTCCACAATGGCTAACAAGCAATTTTGTGTTTGCTTTAGCCAATATTTCTTGTTGTGGTAAAAATTTTTCTTTTGGGTAAATTTCAATATTATTATAAGACACTTTGGTTGTTCGTATGCGAACTTTAAAGGTACATTGTGAGAAACGTTCAAACACATAAAACATTGTCTCAATATATAGTTGGTCTCTTCTAAAAGGTACAATAGCCGTTCCAAATGTGACGAGAACAACACATGAGCTCTTAAAATATAAAGATACAAAGGATGTACCATTATAACCTAAGGGTTTGGCATGTATTTTAACAAAAACACTGACCCAGACCCCGAAGGCTCTACTCCAACAAACCGATCCCCGGCGACCACCCCCGAGGAGGCAAAACCTCGACCCGAACCCCGAAGGACATACCCCGGCGAACTCAAATCCCCGACACTCCCGCCCCCGAATGAGTGTCAAAGAGTGCTACCATACTTTTAACAAAAGTTGGCAGGTATTGGGATTCTGAATAAGATTGGAAAACTCATATAAATATATCCATATTTTAGTTGATCCCTCTAACTCTAAAAATTAATTTTAAAAAATTTTTCTTTATTACCTCATCTTTATCTATTATTTTAGGTTTTGTTAAAATTCCTTTGCCTTCAACAACAATACCACCAATATAACCAACTTTCTCGTGATCGGGATAATTTTCAAAATTTCCGAGAGGATGTTGATTTATAAAATGATATTTAATATTTTTAAATAAAACATCCAAAGTTGAAGGCAAGTTAAAATTTCTTTGCCCCCAAAATATTTTTTGAAAATATCCAGTAGAATATTCAAATAATTCTTTTATTTCTTTATTTTGATCACTATGTTTTGTCATATTTTCAAAAACTCTATGACTTTTTATTCGCCACATACCGTCTATTTTTATCCAATCGTTTGGTTCGGGGAAATAGAATTCTTAAAAAAATATTTTTTAAATTTAAAAATACAAGTGAGTCTCGTCTATAGATATCCCCTTTTGGGTGAAAATTTTTATCTCATAATGAGGAGTATATTGAATACAGGTCATAGTTAAAGGGTAAAGCAGCTGGGCTATAGCTAGTTCTCTCCTTCAGCTAGGCAAAAGGTTATTCGGCGGCTGGGAGCGAACCAGCATCCCCCTTATTTTTTACTTCGTAATCAGGTACGAGTACGAATTTTAGGTAGGAGCTTCCAAACACTGCTCACAAAAACTTTTGTTACAGGAAGAAAGAACCCAAGATTTAACATCTTTATAGAGGATTAGCGGATCCTGCGAGATCCCCTGATATCCTGACTTTTCTCGGATCTTAATCACAAGTTACAGCCCTAAATTTTAAATTTTTAAAAATATAACCAGGAATATAGCCAGGAAGATCTCTAACAACATTAATATTCAGAAACTGTAGATATGATGGAAGTAAAATCGAAGCAGAAACATTAAAAGTATTTTTAATGTTTAATGCTTCAAATAAAGCAAAAGCTCCAGCCATAACGTTAAACTCTGCTATTCCAATATCATATCCTTGTTGATACAGATCAGTAAAAGTTTTATGGTCTTTGATTACCTCTAAATTTTAAAAATTAGAAAATTAGAAAAATCTTTTCAAGGCGAGTATCAGCGTTCTCCATGTCATAAAATTCAAACGTTTCCCTGACGATTCCAGGTTTTCGAAGGTGTTCAGGTTCCTGTAACCGGTTTCTGGAACTGGGAAAATCTTGGTGATTATCCCTACAAAATTCTGAAATTGTTTTTTTAAAAGAAGGGAGAGAGAGAGTAAAGGAGAAGGAAGAGTGAGAGAGAGGAAGAAGAGAGAGAGGAAGATTATTAAAAGAGAAGATCACCTCGTTAGCTCAGTCAGCCAGGTAGATTTCTGCCTGAGGCCTTACCTCTCACTTACTGAATTTCAGGTCTCTCAAAGCGTTTACTCACTAGAGATCGGATCAAGACGAGATCTTGATCAAAAATCACGGTTATCTCCATCTCGATTCCCAGTTAGCACGCTAATACTCACCACTTACTTTTACGGTTTACAAGGATATTTTAAAAAATATTTTTAAACAATTTTCACAAATTTTTTTCCTACCTTCATAAATTCCGACAACAAAATAATCTTTTGTTCCTTTAAAATCACCAAAAGGATCTCTGCTATAGTTATCCAATTTCCCTTTATTTATTGGTATTTCAGTTATTTCAAAATTAAATTCAAAATCTTTAGATTCCAAAGGTTGCCCTCCTTCTCTCTGATAAACGAGCAACTTCTTTGAAATTAAAAATAAAAGGATTTACTAAAATAAAAAGAGGAAAATCCAACTTGGAAGGAGCTCAATCTAATATGTATTATGCCCACAAATGCCTGCATAGTCCTATGCCCCCCCCCATGTTTTGCGACAAAAAGGATAATGGGAAAGAGCAATGTTCGGAACGGCACGGTAATACCGCATGATAAATTCTTTTGTTCCTCTAAAATCACCAAACCTGATCGGTATATTTCTGTATTACCGTTACCGAAAATAACCATTTGACGAACTCTAGAAAAAGGATAAGTTGTAAGGGGAAATGGAAGAAGAGATATCCGATTCGATTCAGCGAATAATTCCGGAGGGTTATGGCTGAACAAAATAATCTTTTGCTCCTTTATCAACATCTCTTTTTGTGCTAGCCATAATAACCTTACGTAAATCCTTACCACACTGTATTTCTCTGACAATATTTGTGCTAGCCATAACTAAAAAAAATTTCCTTTTAGCTATATTAAAATATATTAAAGTTGACTCTCGTTATAATCGACTCTAGTAATAAACTAAAGGAATCGGAACAGACCAAGGATATATCTGATAATGTAATTTCAATTTTGGTTGTACTAGTAAACTGTACCATCCATTACTTTGGTGGTCGTAAGTAGAGTTGGCCGGTATCGGGCGGTATTATACCGGTTTCTTTGAATCCAGATACTGGTTTTTAATGATACCGACAGCCGGGAGTTGGTATCATTATTCAAAGAACCGATGCCGATTTCATGTCGTAATCCCGATAAAGACGCAAAGCATCTATGCGACCAAAATTTATAACGAGATTTAGCTTCTAAATATTAAATTATTTACATTAAATTGTACGTGCGAGTAGTAATAATTGTCGCAAATGTACAAAACCCTTTTAGTTTTTCCATTTTTTGTTGAACTTTCCCCTACTTTTTGTTTTCCTTTACGCCGACTAGAACTCTCTTCATAGTCCCATCCCTCAAAATCTTCAACTTCTCTTCCGATTCTTCCGATTATTCTTCCATCTCTTCCTAGACTTCCTCCTCTTTCTCTCAATCGTTCTACTCCTTCTCCTCTTTCCAAACTTCTTGATCGTCTTTGTACTCCTCCTCCTATTTCTTCAAATATTTCTTCCATCCTCTTCATTTGTTCCTCTCTTCTTCCACCTCCTTCCGTTCCAATGGGTATTTGTCTTCTTCCCACACTTCTTCCTTCAACTCTTCCTTCACCTCTTCCTTCAACTCTTCCCTCGCCTCTTCCCTCAATTCTTCCCTCACCTCTTCCCTCAATTCTTCCTTCATTTCCTTCATCTTCTTCACTACTTTCTTCACCCTTTCCTATACAGCTACAATTTACACTCATTTTTGCGCCCCTTTTAAAGCGACTCCCTTTTACCATTACCTCCCATTTATCAGTAGCAGAACAGTTACACTCCTTTTCCCCGTTTATTTGATTAATTTCAATAAAAATTAAAACAAATAAAATACAAAATAAAAATTTAAACATTTTAAAAATTTAATTTTTTAAAATAATTAATTTTACAAGGGAAATTAGCCGACTAATAGACTTTAATAGAGGACCTTTTTGGCCATATACACTTACCTCCTCTTAATTTTTAAATTTATTTTAAGACAAAATTTTTTATTTTTTATTTTGCCGACTCGGTCATATTTTTTAGAATTTTGTCAATAATTTTTATGATTTTTTTTATATTTTTTTAAAAACTGTGTTTTAATTCTCTAAGTGCATCTCCTTTTCTCGATTTCCGACATTCAATCATCGATAATTTTTTTTACTGTTTGTCGGCGTCTGTGAGAGAGTGAGAGAATTTTTTAATTTTTTGGATAATTTATGGAAGGGGGAAATTCAGAAAAAAATTTTCTGGTGGGAATTTTCAAGTTCTCTCAATGCTTTTATTTTTTTTATTGAGAATAATGCTTGGACGCTCGTACAAAAATTCTTACAACACGTACAACTACGTGTTTAAACTTGGTACGGAGTCAACCCCATATAGGTATATCTCCTTAGGCAACAAAAATAAAAGAATTAAACTTTTGGCCTTAACATAGTAAAAAAATTTCTGGGAATTATACATACCACATTACCATATATAATTACCATATTTATACCTTTATATCATCTTTTCTGGAAAAATTGTAAAAATTTTATTGCAATTTTTACATAAATAATCTTAATTATTATCTCAACTATAAAATCCCTTCAAATACAAAAAAAAATTTTAAAAAAACCTTCGATTAGCTTAAAGTCTTTCCTTTATTTTTCTTTTATATATCCCCCATTCATCTCTAAAATACCTCCTTATCCCCTTGGGAGTCGTTCATAATCGCCGCTAGTTTTTCTCCCCCCTTTCTAGCTTACTTTTATTTCCAAAAAATATTCCAAATATTTATTGGTTTTTTAAAAATATTTTTTTTATTTTTTAAAAAATTGGAGGACTTTTTTAGTTACTCTTCTCTCAAGGGTCATTATTATTATTATTAATCCCTCATTAAGCATTGCATGCTTTATTAAAATTATTTTTAAAATAAAGTTGAAAATGTAGTCTTTTTATTGTTAAAATTTTTATTTTTACATGAAGACTTGGCTGTTTCTTTTTGAAAAATCTATCGACCTTTTATAAGACCCAGAAACTAAATTTTTTGGAAATTATGAGGAAAAACAGTCGCAGAATCATGAATTTTTGGTGAAAAAAAATTTATTTTTCATGGACTTGGGATTTTACTAATTTTTAGTAAGTTGATTGATGAACGCGCAGAAACAAAAATTTTTGATGAAAAAATTATTTTTCGTGAAATTGGGATTATTATTAATAATCCAAATTATTAGCAAGCACTAGACTGGCTCAAGAAATTCTAATTTTGCTTAGTGATGTTCGGGAGGTAAAAAAGCCGAAAGCCGAAAGTCGAAACCGAGACCAAAAATCAACCTCTAAGACCGGAGCTCAAAAACCGGGAAATTTCCCGACTCGTGAACCGAGAGTCTCGAACATCACTAGACAGGCTCAAAAAATTCAATTTTTACTATTTTAAAGTCTTAAAATTTTTAGAATAATTCCTGAAAAAAAAATATTTAAAATGTCTCTAATCGTCCCACAACAAGAATCTGCTGCCCCTCCTATTCTGCTTCCTTTTCAAGGAGGTATGGGTCGACAAAATTTTATGAGCCGTATAAGAATGCATAACTTACAACTTCCAACTACAGAAAATTCAAATACAGGAGGGAATGTAAGTTTATTTTCTAAAAAAGTTTTCAAGTTTGAACTTGAAAAGCTTGCAACTTTTAAGCTTAAACTTAAAATTTGTCGTAAAAAGTTTTTCAAGTTTGAACTTAAAAACCTTGCAAGTTTTAAGTTTAAACTTAAAATTTGTCATAAAAAGTTTTTCAAGTTTGAACTTGAAAAGCTTGCAACTTTTAAGCTTGAACTTAAAATTTATCATAATAAAAATAATACCAAGTTTTGGATATTAATTATTCTTAAAAAATATTTTCTCAGAAATCTCCCTCAAAAATATTTACTAAATATTATTGCGTGACTATTTCTTGAGTGCTTTTACATTCATAATTCCTTACTTTATTCAGAAATTTTTTATGTTAAGGGCCAAAAGTTTAAGCTTTTTATTTTTGTTGCCTTAGGAGATATGACTTTTATATGGGGATTTTTATGTGTCTTCCATGGGTGTATAGATTAGCGTTGCACCCCGAACGCTTGGGGGCGGGTATGTCCGGGAGTACGGGGTTTTCTAATTGTTTTGGGGCGGGGTTCGGGTCGGGGAAAATTAGAAGAAATCTTTCGGGAACGGGGATCGGGGTACCGGGTCGGGTGCAACTCTAATATAAATCTATATAGCTATACATAAATCTAGAAATCATATGGCTATAAATCTAAATTATTCTATATAGGTATAATCTCAAAATCTCCCTTGCTTCTTCACTCTTTCAAATCCTCTTCTCTCATTTTTGCTTGATTTCCCACTACCTTAATCCCCTTTCCTCCAATCCTCATTCTCGTCTAGAGTCAGTTGCTTCATTTATTTTCCATCCCGATCCATCGGTCAGACCACAAAAACCTTTTTATCATCTTTGTTTTATGACAACAACAAAATATTTATTCACTCAGATTCTTTTTTTCCACTTTATAACACTTTAATAAAGCAATAAATAAAACTGCTTTCTATTTTCATGCTTTAAAAGCTAATGGACCATAAATATCTTAAAATATACCTTATTTCTTTACTTTTTTTATTGCTATGTCCGGGGGTGTCCATGACTTAATACCTTATCCGAGTAGAAATACAATGTAAGTGAAGGTGGGATTGGGCTTGTTAGCGAAGGACTAAGACAAGGACTAACTTCAAGGACCAACCAGACTAGTTGATCAACTAGGCTAGAGTTAACACTGGCCTTTATAGACTTACAAGAACAAAAATAAATTGGAAATCGTATAGAATTAAGGCCTTAGAGACAGGATTACAAGGGTTGGGGGTTTCGAGTCGGCCGGCCCGTTCGAGTCATTTCTTTCCAGGCCCGGGCCGGATCGGGCCGCGACCGAGTCTTTTTCGGGCCAAATTCGATGCCCGACTCTATCTTTCGGACCGGGCCGATCGGGCCCCAAAACCTAAAAATTACAAGAGAAATAATAAATTTTAAGCTTAAAAGATCTAAAAGGCTTTAAAGGCCCATTGAGTGACACTTGCGAGTATTTTTTAAAATTAATCTCTGAAATAGCTTCTCATATTTTTAAATAATGAGAACTTCCCGTCAACCAATAACTATATTAGACCCTCAATGTTCCTCCTCCACATCTCCACTATCAGAACAACAACAGCAACTAGAACAACTTCCTCCCCCAGCCTTAATTATTGGAGGGAGACAGCAACATACAATGAGGCATCGAATATCCTTCGATCCAAATATTCAGGCAAATTATAAGAAAAAAATTTTTTCCCTTCCATTTTTAATTAAAAACTGTTTAGAAAAACAGTTGTTATTTTAAGCTTAATCCATCGATTAAAAACAAGCTAAAATCAGTTTTCTTCCAAAAAATATTTTTTTTTCTATTTTTTATATAAATTCTTCTCCAAATTTTTCTTCCAAAAAATTACTAATATTATTTTATTTCCCTTTAAATTCCCTTATTAATTCCACCAATTATACCGAGACAATGAAATCATCCGGCAAAAATTCCCCACCCCCAACACCGCTTTCTGTCTCATCTGACCACTCCTCACCCCTAATTTCTTATCAATTTCGTTGGCCTACAAGAAAATCACAACGACGGCGAAGGAGACAAATTATGGAACCCAACTTTGGTTCAAGTTGTGAGGAAGAAAGGGGTCCGAGAAGAAATCCGAGAAACACAAGAAATCCTCCACAACCTAAACAAACTCAGCCTCAACCTCAGCCTCAACCAAAAACTCAACGGAAAATTTCAAAACAAGTCGTTTTCCGTCCCGGTTTTCGTCCAGGAACTCCTCCACCTTCTGTGCCGATACGTGCACAGGCGCTCAGTTATGATCCTAATCTTCTTGCACCTCCAAGTGCTTATGAAATTGGATTAACTCAATGGGAAGCTCCTCCACATAAACGAGTTTGTAAATAGGATCTCAAGTAAATGGGAATTTTGAACTTTATATGCCCCCTTTTATTATCTCTCCAAATCTATGACGATAGTTACCCAGCTTTGCTTGTTAGAACCCCGACTTAATGGATACAGATAATTTCAAAATTGTGGTATTCGCCTTATCCACCGTAAATATCCGGATATGGATACCAACATTCGTCCATTACCAAGTCTGTTAGAACCTAATACCATAACTCTGGGTGAGTAGATTTTAGGGAATACAGAGAATTATTCAAAACATTAGAGTTACACACACCCAACGACGGCATAAATTCTAATTCCAGAAGCTGGTGATTTACGGCATATGTAGACCATGGTTTACGGCATAGATCATAGAACATTAGGTTCTAACAACGCAGAGCTGGATACTTATTGACATCGATTTGGGGATAAAATAAAAAGGGGTCTTCCAAAGTTCAAATTTCCAGTAAAATTTGTCCTAAAAACAAAGAAAATATAACACACAAATCTATTTTTACCCCAATCTTTTAATCGTTCATTAGCTAGCGCATTTATTTTTTTCCTCCATTTTTAGTATTTTTATGTATGCTCGAAATAGCCTTAAAGCTTTAATTTAAGCATTTAAGTTTACAACTGCTTTCCTTTGCTTGTTAATTCCTTTCATGTTTTTTTGGTTAAAAGGTTAAAGCATCCTACGGGAATTCTCTAAAATAAAATATTGAATATAAATCTTATTTTTTTTTATTTTTACAAATTTATGCCAAGCCTTCTTTCTCTAAAAATTAATCTTATTCAAATTTTTCATATTTTATTCCTTATTAATCTGTTATAAATGGTACATGTATTCTTTGCTCGTTTTTAAGTCCAAACTCAATTCTACAAATTTAAAGCTTATTCTTAAACTATAATCTAGATAATTTTGAGACTTTAAGTTCAAACTTAGATACTTTAAGTCCGAACTTGACTTGAAACTTAAAATTAAAATTTAAACTAGCGTTGCCCTTTCCAAATCACCAATGGGGGCGTGACTCTAGAGTTTCACCGGAAGTTCCGGTTCCCGTTCCGGAAAGTTTCGGCGTTTTTCGGATCCGGTTCCGGGAACCGGAATTCAAATTGGTTCCGGTTCCGGTCAAAATTTCAGTTCCGGTGAAACACTAATGACCTCTTAAAAAGGGGACAATGTGGGAAAAAGGGGGCAATGTGGAAAAGGGGGTAAATGCCTCCCAAATTAGGTTGAAGGGCCCGCTCCAATATCGAAAATTTTCAAATTAAAACCATAAACAATTTTTTAGGATACTGTCGAGAAAATACCGATACGTGCACGTTCACAAAGTTGGTTGATTCGTACTAGGCATTTGCTTGATGACGAAAAGGTGTGTGTCCTACCAGCTCAAAAATCACGTTTACAATTTTTAGTTAAATCGACAAGTACCAATCATATCTAAATGCCTTTATGTGCTTTCTGTTCTACTCCTTGTTATTACTTTTCCTTTCTGTATTCCGTTTTGTCTACGTGTTTCTAAGTAATTTTCTTCCCCAAAAAATCCCCGTAAAAATTAAAATTATTTTCCTTAGAGAATATGAAAGAGCTGTTGTATTTCGATTGGGAAGGTTTTCGCAAAACTTAAAAATAAATTTAAATAATTTAAGGCTTATTAAACGTGGAACGAAAGGTCCAGGGGTAGTATTAAATTGTTTAATCTGATATTTGATCTTATAAATTTAGATGTTTTTTATTATGCCATGCATTGACACGTATAGAATGGTATGGAGCTTATTTTTAAGTATTACCTTGAATAAATTAATCTCCGCCTTAGAAAAATTAATTTTTAAAGCATAATTACTCGAGCCCGTAGTTAAAAATTAGACTAAGTTTAAGCTTTAAAAAATAAATTTTAATATTAAGTTTAAATGCCGGATTTCCCCTATAAAGGCTCAAGTAGACAAGAATAAGATCTGAAATTATTTGAGCCGCCATAGGGAAAAATAAGCCCGTAGTGAACACCCTAGTTTTAAAGCTTTCGAATTTAAGTTCGCAAAATATTGATAAGATAAAAAAGACCTCATTAAATAGAAACAAGTTTTAAAAGCTTATATTTTAAAGCTTTAATAAAAAAAAACAAGTTCAGGTAGATTTACGAGTTCTTTCCTTCGATGTTCCACCACAAGAAATTCTTTCAAGAGATTCAGTTACTGTATCAGTAGAGGCTGTTATATACTTTCGTATTTCTAATCCAGTTATTTCCGTTACAAAGTTTGAATTTTTTTTTGAAAATTTAGACATTAAATAAGCTTTTTAGTGTGAATGATGCCCAATTTAGCACAAAATTGTTAGCACAAACGTGAGTATTTCTTAGTCCTTTTTAATAGTCAAATCTTCCCCTCTAGAACTCTTCGGAATGTTTTGGGCACCAAAACTCTCAGTGAAATATTGATGGAAAGGGATATAATATCAAATGTATGACCTTAGAATTTTTAAATTAAATTAATAATTTTAGATAACAGAAAAGGTGCTTGATGATGGAACTGATCCTTGGGGTTTTTTAAAAGAATTAAGGAAAAAAAACAAATGATAATTTGTACAGGTGTAAAAGTGGAAAGGGTGGAAATTAAAGATATTCGACTTCCTCAACAATTGATGAAGGTACTTAGATACTTTTTTGTGTTTAGAAATCGAGAACATATACCGTGTATCCTCGAATGCCCTCTTAAATGTTTTCTCCTCTTCCAAAAATAATTACCCTCCCTAAAAATGCCCTAAACTCGAATAATCGCCCTCGCCCATCTCTCAATTAATTACCCCTTCCCTAGCGAAAGGTTGAAGCATTAATTACCCAGGGCACTTATTTGAGCATATACGGTATCAGTCTCAGCTGACTAAAAATCTAGAAAATTTAAAAAAAAATTTAGTCAATGGCCGCTGAGGCAGAAGCCGCTCGCGATGCACGAGCTAAAATTATAGCTGCGGATGGTGAGCGAAGTGCAAGCCGGTACCTACTAAAATATACTAATCTCTTAACCCACTAACTGAAAATTTTTTTAAGACAATTAGTCCAAGCAGCAGATATTGTGTGTGGCAATAAAGTTTCTCTTCACTTGCGATACCTACAAACGCTAATCAGAATTTCTTCTCAACATAATCATACTTATGTAAAACTTAACTTTAAAATTCTCTAAAAACTAAGATCTTTAAATAGAAATTTTATTAATTAAATTCTTAAATTAACATGAATATAAATTATGTAATTTTTAGGTAGTACCAATTCCACTGGAATTTATGAAAAGAATAATGGAGAAAATAAAAAATAGAGGAAGAACACAGGGAAAGTGAAGATGAAAAAAAGAAAAGAATTTTTATGAAAAAAATTATTTTTGGGAAAATTTTAAAGATAGTGAAATTTTTTGATTACAAAATTTTTTGGGGTAAAATTCAATTTCGTTCCCCCCTCTTTTTTCCCTCCTCAAAGTATTACAAAATGGTCAGTCAATCTTAAGTTATAGAACTCGTCGAGCTGTGTCGAATGACACCAAAATCGAAAAAATCGGACTTGATTGGACCGAAATACAGACCCCTAAAAATTGAACAACCACAGGGGCGAAAAACCAAAAGGACGAAAAAGTATACAAATGATAGCTCGTTCGAAAGAGCTCGTCGAGTTGAGTCGAATGACACTAAAATCGACGTGATCCGACTTGATTTGACAAAGATATGACATAAATCATCGACTCCGGTAGGTCTAAATAACGTCGTAACTTTGTCAAATCTTGTCCAATTACGTTGATTTTGATGTCATTCGACTCAGCTCGAAGAGCTCTTTCGAATGAGCTACCATTTGCTTAAATTTTTTTAATTTCAAAAAATCACCCCTGTGGTTGTTCAATTTTTAGGGGTCTGTATTTCGGTCCAATCAAGTCCGATTTTTTCGATTTTGGTGTCATTCGACACAGCTCGACGAGTTCTATAACTTAAGATTGACTGACCATTGTGTAATACTTTGAGGAAGGAAAAACAGAGGGGGGAACGAAATTGAAAATTACCTTTTTTGGCTCTGGTCTAGTTCGTAAATCCAGCAAAAATTTTATAAGTCCAATGAAGCTTTTTTACACGTCTAATTAAAAATCATATTCATAGGACTCATAACCTACATATTAGAACAGAATTATTTCGAACCTAAATAAATCGAAAAATGTTCAAAAATATCTATCAAAAATATTTTTCAAAATTTTCGAATTGAAAGAAAAATAACCTCAAAATCAAAATTCGAAACAACTCCGGCCTAGACCAGAGACAAATAATTTTTCTTTGTTTTTTAGACATTCAGCTCTATAGTAATATTTAAGAAAAAGAATTTGATTAAAAAATAAATAAATACAATAAATATTAGAACAAGTAAATACAACAATTAAATTGAAGATTTGAATAAAAAAAGGGTTATGGACTACTAATTTATTTAGGAAATTTTGAAAAAAAATGCCTTCCCCTGGAAAAATGCCTTCCCCTTGGACTTAGTTCTCCTGTCGAAAAATTTTTTTTCTAAAATTTTCTAGATCTTAAAAAATTTTGTGAGCCCTCCCCTAACCCCTTTAAAAATAAAAACAAGTGAATCAAAAAAAGTTAAAAAGTTTTACGCATTTTCTCCTTGTGAAGCTTCTGTTGTTAATTGTTGAGATGTTCCCGGTGCACAAACATCCATTAATGAAAAATTGAGTGATAAAAGTGATGGAATTGTTCGACAATCACGCCTCATTTCAAGCTGTTAAAATTAAAAATAAATAAAAAATATTTTTTAAAAATTATAGAAAAATTATACGTGGCCAGAAAAAAGATTTTTTAGGTGAGCTAATAAAAAATTTATTTATTCCCAAAATTATTCTTATAAAAATATTTCTCCGAGAATTCCAAAAATTTCCTAAACCTCTGGAAAATATTTCCCCAAAATTAACCTCATAAAATTAACACAAAATAAACTAACAATTTTCTGTACACGAGTAAATGCTTCCAGTGAAGAACTTCTAGAATCAATAATTTCTATTGATTTAAAATCGTATGGATGGAAGACTCGAATACATTTTAGAACTTAAAAGTAAATTTTTAAAAAAATTAGAGAAATTTTTAAAATAACCCAAAATATTTGATCCATCCCAGATGACGTCATCGAATCTTAAAAATAAAATTTGTGATAAATTTACGCCAGTTATATATCAGTAAAAGTGGCATTAGAAGAGAGAAGTTTAAAGGTTCCTCTACCCCCCAAAAAGGATTTCTGAAAATTGAAAAATTGACCAAAAATTGTAAAAATTCCCATATATCTCCATGGGCCCCCTCCCCTCTAAAAAATAACTTTAAAAAAATTTCTAAAAAAGGACTCTCTAGCGTATAAAAAAATTTCTGAAAATTCAACTGATACTTACAACTGAAACTTACAACCCCCTATACCCCAAAAAATGTCTAAATTTGGAAAAGTACCCAAAAAGGACAGAGAATTTCCATAAATGACAGATATACTCTTCGGGCTCCAATTCCTACACTCTAAAAAAATGGTTATAAAAAAATCTCCGAAAAAGTTAGGATTCCCAGAGACAATAAAATATACTTTTTGTGAAAAGGAATATAAAAAATCAAGATTAATTTAAAAACAAACATCCTTTTAAGCTCCAAAAAAGTCCTTTTAGCCTGTTCATCTTTAATAAAATAATCACTTTCCAAAACACTTTCAGTTCTTTCAATTTCATCAATTGTGTATAGAGAATTGTTATGCTTTATTAAATTGCTAGATCGCCTTTTTTGCATTTTTTGTGGGGGGAAAATTTTCTCAATCTTAAAAATTATTTTTAAAAAAGAAAATTTAACGAAGAAAATTTAACAAAGAAAACCGTTAAAAGTCCACATTTTTTGACAAAATGTAATGTAGATCGTCCATTGTTTAAGTATTCCTCTAAAAGTAGAATTCCATTAGTCACATCGTTTAGTATTAATTCGCCAGAAAAATGAGAAGATTTGGTTGAACAACGAATAAAATCGCCAATTGAGAATGAATCTAGAAGGCAGAGAAGATTTAAAAAACATTTTAACAAAGAAAAAGGTTGGGGAAATAACTAAATTTTCTTTTTTTCAACTAAATTCAACAAATTTTTCTTTAAACTAAAAATTCAACTAAATTCTATTGGAAGTTTAATAATTTCCCCCAATTCCCAACACATTTTTAAATTCAAAACAACCTAGAATTCGGACTCTTCTGCAACTCTAACATCCTTTTTAAGAACAGAATGGAGGAAAGATCAACCATGTTTGGAAGCTCATACGAAAATTCGTACTCGTACACGTGTACGAGGGAAGGAATTCGGTCAAGTACTAGTAAAATCTAAAGACACTGACCACTTAAAATAGAAATCAAAAGACCTCACAAGTGCACATCTTGGATGTTAATTCGAGGGGAATCAATAAAGGGAAGAAATTTCGGGTAAATAACCCCATCCAGAAACTAAAAAAATATTAAAATTAAATAAAACCGTTTTGACACTGTACAGAAGTTGTAGGGCAAACATCACACTTAACATCATTTAAAGATTTCGAATCAACTTGCGAATCATTAGCAACATCATTTTCCTCGTTATTAAAATTTTTAGTTATTTGTTCCATTTAGTTAAATTGATTACAAGTTTTAAAAATTTTTCTGAAAAATTAAAAAAATCTGTTTATTGTTAGCTAAAAAAATTTACTTGCAGTCCCTCGTATTGTTTTTCTCTATTCTAAAAGAATTTATTAAAAATGTCAAAATGTACTATTTCACAAAACTATTCAACTTTTTTCTTTCTAAAATATATTTTTAAATAAAAATAAATATGTATAATCCAAACAAGATTTAGAAAAAATTATTAAAATTTAAGTATTTAAAATTTTTTATTCGATAATTCAAAATAAGATTTTTTTTCAAAATAAAATACCTGAAAAATAACATTATTGATAATACTTTGAAAATGGGAAAAGGAAAAATCTGGGGAGGGTATTGAGAAAAAATGAATTTTTTTAGCCCACGACCTTGCAAAATTCTCAAAATTTTCGCCTGCGGCGCTAAAAATCAAACTGGGAGGCGCCAAAAAGAGATAAAATAATTAAGTAATTTGATGATTCTGAACAAAATTACAAAGCTGAATCCTCGCCTTAAAAAAACTTTTTGTGTCGCTACAAGGGCAACAAGTCATATTCTATTTTATTTTAGTGTCAATCGACTCAATTCGAAGAACTCTCTCAAAAATGTGCCATAAAAACAAGAAAAAATAGAAAGGAAAAAAGGGGTCAAACCAAAGTATTACCATATTTTTTTAGCAAAACGAGATCCCAACAAAAAAATATTCGTATCACCTTTACTTAAAATATTTCAAAAAAAATTTATTCTTGACCCATATCCTTCATTTGAGCAAGTTTGGTTTTCAACTTTAAAGAAATTCTTTTATTTAAAAATATTTTTAAAAAAAATACCGAATGATTAGACATCTTCAAATCCAATAATTTCTTGCGGCGAGATTTCAAAATATTTATGGTTGTCTCACTAAAATTTTAAAAAGAAAATTTTTTGTTAGAAAAAATTTAGAAAAACTAACGTAATTTCACTCTTAATTTCCGTAGTAATTTGATTCTGATCAACTTTAAAGAGTTCAACATCCAAATTTGCCAAAACTTCCTTCTTCTGTTTCGATTCCTCCGAAGCTAAAGCACCTAAAAAATTTTTTCAAAAATTTTAAAAATTTATTTTTTACATCCAGATTTCGCACCATCTATTTTTTGACGCAATTCCTGTTTAAATTTAGACATATCCCCATAGTGATCCTAAAAATTTTTCGAATTTTAATTACCTCTACATTTATTAAACTAACCTCATCAGAAATTCGCATACTTTTGAGAGTTTCAAAAATACGGTGAAGATGTTTGTTGTGTTCTGCCGACGTCTTGCGGAACTTGTCGACCTAAAAATCGGAAAAATTTCTGAATTTTCTGAAATTAATGAGTTTAGCAAAGGCTGACTAAAGATTGGACCGAGATGTGATCTCGAACAAAAATCCCAATTATCGAAATTTTTCGAGATATCCGATAGTACAACACTCTCGTTAGATCTCTAACTGACAGTACTCGCTTTGCCTCACTTACACCTATGTAGATGCTCTACCAGTGAGCTACCTGAGCAGCAGCTTTTGCTTTCTCTTTTCACCTATGAACAGTCAACCCCCTCTCCTAATCGTCTTAAATGCCGCTCATTCTTACTATCAGAAAATATTTTTAAAAAATCCATACCCGAACTCCCAATGCTTGATCCTCCTTCTCCGAATCATTTTTGAATCTTTAAATTAAATAAAAAATAAAATAAAAAAATTTTTAAATTAAAACCCTTTAAGTTTTCCCTCACTATCACCCAAAGAAACATTAAGCAATTTAATTTTTTCCGAAAGCATTTCATTCTCAGCCCTATCCTCAAGTAATTTTTTATATTCTTCCTCATAACGCTCCATTAATTTTGCATTATTAGCTTCTTTTGATCCAAGTTCCTCTGTCAAAGATGTAATTTCTATAATTAAAAATAAATGTATAAATATTTAATTTATTTAAGGATAAACTTACGCCTTTCAAGTTGAGATTTAAAATCCTCCTCCTGTGAAATATTTGATGAAGTTGTTGGTGACATTGTAAAAGTACTAAAAAAATCGAATTTTAAAAACTAAATTTTGTCAAAAGTTTATTGTAAAAGTTCCTTTCACTCTCTAGTTTCCCTAATATTTTCCAGCAGTACTTTAATGTGGAAAATGTCAAAATGTCAACTTTATATAATGCCATTGGGCATTTTATCCGGCTGCCACGACGGGGAGTCTTTTAACCAGCTTTTTATAAAAAATTTTATATTTAGACTAATATTTTTTTAAATTTTATTTATAAATGGTTCGTCGACGACTTCAAGAAGGACAGGATTTAAATAATGACAACAAAAATAATGCCTCAGACAAAACTAAAGAAGAACAAGTTCGAGAATTATTAGACGAAGAAAAACAACATGAAGGTCTTGCACAAGAATTGCTTAGATTAACTGGAAGTTTGAAACATAATTTTACAACTGCTGGTTCTGTGCTTAAAGAGGATAATGCGGTTACTTTAAATCGATTTTTCTAATTTTTTTTTGGTTTTATCCCTTCCAGAATTTTTTGCGGACTTTTTTCTTTTTTGCGGACACATTTATTTTTCTTCTTAAGAAATCTTGCCGAGTTTATGCTGAAGAAAATGATTGGCGAAAATGACGTTTTTGAAGAGGTTTTGTTCTCTTGGAGGAAATATTGGTCATTGAAATTATTTTTTCTTTCATATATTTCCTCTTTTAAAATGTGTCCGCAAAGGTTAAAAAAGTCCGCAAAAAATTCTGGTAGTGATACGGAAGTGTACCTTATATTTTTAATTTAAAGGCTCTCGATGTTATGCACAGAATTGCTTCGAGCAACAAAGAAAATTTAGTTCGTGAAAGTGGCCGTTTGGAGCATCATGCTTACAAATCCTGTTTTAATTTTATGATGATTTTGATTGTTATTTTTGTGATATGGTCCTTTATTGCGATGATTGTTGTTATGAGAGTATTTCCTAAAGTTTAAAAAATAAATTTTTTAAATATTTTTTTGTTTTCATAAGATTTTTATTCAATTTATTTTTTTATTTTTGTTATTTTCCTGTTAAATTTCTTTCTCTTAATGTCTAGAAATGTGTCCCAACACTCTCCGTTTCCTTAGAAATTTTCCAAATGTTTGTGTGACCCAGCATTGCTTCTTCTCCGCGAAAGAGGCTGCTATAGCCTTACGTCCGTTTTATTTTGCTGTTCATCCTGACAGGTTTTTATTTTTTAAATTTTATTTTGAATATTTTTCAGATTTGCCCAAGAACCTGATATTCAAACGAGAAATGAGAGAGCGTTGCAGGTTTTTGATTATAATTTGTAGGGATCGGAAATTCTAAGAACCTTATTTTGTCTGAGGATTCTGACCAGATTCCTTGCTTTGAGTCAAGGAGGAATCCAGGACTCTGGATCCAGGGCGTCTTATTTGTATTTTAGATAGGGGGTTTTTGCATACTTTTCTAGTTGAATTTTCTTCGCTGTGGGCTAATCTTTTTTTATTTTAACTAAAATTATTGAAATTCACAAAATTTAATTTTTAGGTTTTCAATGGCTACATCAACAATTTATTTCCAGAGCCTGTAACCCAAATGCCTGTCAATGTTCGTATCTTTGCACTTATTGGTTATCTTAAATTAGTTTTTGCGGAAATATTATCCGGACTCATTTACGTACGGAATTGTCAAAGTTTTTTCTTCAAGTAAGAACTTTCAAGTAATGGTCAAAGGACCATTCCATATGTAAGTCAGCCCGCATAAATGTCCTTAAAAATTACTTTGGGATAACCAATAAGTATCTGTATTTTTAACGATTAGATTTATTATTTTTGAATTTTTAGGTTGAGTTCACAGTTAGGGACACACTTTCCAACTTTAAAAGTATTCGAATATTTCTTTCTGGCGCAGACCCAGCTGAAATTATTAAGTAAAAAATTTTTCTTATTTTTTGTCTCTTTAGCTCTTATTTTTTAGACTAGCACTTGAAAGATGTGAATTAAGCACAGCCCATTTGCCTGTACGAGACAACCTTTCACAAAACCAAAAAATAGGCACCAAAACGGCTCAACAAAATTTTGCTCTAGGATTAGACGAAATTTGGAAGAATTTACAGGAAAATGAACGTTTAAGACAAAAACGTTTTTATGCTGTTAATTTATTAAAAGAATTATCAAAAAATCGAGAATTGGCAATGCAAAGAAGGGACGGACATAAAGTTATGGTTGAAATAATTGAGGACAATATTGATGAGATTAAAAGGAAAACTGGTTTAACTCAGGTTTTGAATTCGTAATTTGACTGTCAATTAGAGATCGAATGGGAGGGGCTCATAGATAACCTCGATATTCTAGAAATAAATATCTCGATATTTTTGTTAAAACTCTCATCTCGGTCTGATATATAGTGTCAGGCAAGGGCGTAGCCAAGAGGTCGGATTTCAAGGGGGGCTATAGCCCCGAAGCCACTCCCCTGGCTAGCCCTTGGTCGGTTGTTAGCTTTAGAAAATTTTTCCTTTAAATCTGGTCTCTAGCTTTTGGTTATTTAATCTTCAATTTATTAACCGTGATCCAAAAATCATTTTTATAATTTTTTAGATCCTTTGGTCTATAAATTGGGAACTTACTTTTATGCGTCGTTGCCTTATTAATGTTCTTGAAATGATCAACCATGCAGACAAGCATTCGAAGGATTTTATTATTTATTCTTTAAATGGCAGACAATTAACGTTTTTTTTGAATTTATTTTTAAACCTTTTTAAACCCAAACTAAAATTCTTTTAAGTTTTGGACGTGGTTCTCATATTTGTTGTAATGGGTCTTTACAGGTATTTTTGATTTTTTTAATTTTTAAATTTAATCTAGACATTTTTTTTTTCATTAAGTTTGGTGCTGATGACGCTATTGGCGCTTGGCAAAAAATTTGTATAGAATCCACAAAATTTCTAACGTGATTTTTAATTAAAGAGAAAATTTTTTTGATCATTTTTCGGTATTTAAAAATTTAAAAAATATTTTAATTTAAACAAAAATTATTTTTTAAAGATTTGAAGTCCAAAATCTTGAAAGACTTGTTCAACGAGTTGCTGAACTTTTGGGAGGAATAAATTTATTAGTTCAACCTCATGATGGTTTACTTCAAACAATTAAGAACGTGAAACTTTTTATTGCAAGGTTTTTTAAAATAAAATAATTTTAAATTAAGAATTTGGCTTAAGTCTATTTTATGAGTTTAAATTAGAGATGTGCGAAAATTTTTCGTTACGGGTTTCTTATATTTTAGTAGATTTTTTAACGGTTTTCGTTTCGTATTTCGTTTGAAAATAATTTTGCGAAAATTCCGTTTTCGTGCATCTCCGATCCTAGCAAAGGTTTGTGGGTCCAATGAAGATTTATGAGTTCAATTTGTTTGGACTATGATTTTTATAGGAAATAAATTTTCATTGGACTCACAATCAACATTTCATTTGTCTCATGAACTAGACCAAATCCTAAAAATTTTTATTATTTTTCTCGTTTTTAGAATTTGTTCACAACCTCCATCTGAACTTTCTAAAATTACTTCTCTTCTCAAAAAAGACCAACAAGTTCAAATTATGAATGGGTATTCAGAATTGGCACTTCTTCGAGGAATTTTACAAATACCTTGTAATGTTGATATTCAGGCATTGAAGCATTTTATTGATAAAAATGATGCTTCAAAGGCTGAAAAAATGAGAAAGGAATATTTTGAACAAAAGGTTTTTTTTAATTTAAAATTTTTTTTACGAATTGGGGAGGCCTTGCCAAATATAGGATATTTATGAAACCTGATTTGAATTTTTTAAAAAATCATTTGGAATTTTCAGCAAATTTTTTGATTTAATGAATCATGACGTTAGGTATGAGATACTTTTTTATGAATTCTCAAATAATAATTTTGTCAGTTTTCTTGTTGTGGAGCCTCTATGTAACTAAATATTTCATGGAATCTTTCAATAAGGACACCCCTCCCTTTCCACTTTTCTTACGTCCTCAAAAGTCGCCCACGAACCAGGGATGTCACGGCTTGAGTAAAAAGTCGGGTTGGGTTTTCAAAATTTTTTTCGGATTAAGAAGAAGTCCGGGTATCGGGTACCCGTGACATCCCTGCCACGAAAGTTGTCCTATCGAAAAAATTGCATTATTTTGGATTCAGCTTTTGTTATATATATATTTTTTTTATTTTTTCAGTATTTTTTGGAAAGCGTTAAAAATTCAACAGTCTCACATTTGGAATTAACTTCACTCACTTGGGATGCAGATTTAAATTTTACACGTTTATTAGATGCTTTACGAAAATTATCTAAAATTCAAAAAGAACAAATTTCACACTTCTCTGGCTTAGAAATTCATCTTGGATCTGGACCAAAAATTTTTGTTCTTGCTTCAGGTAAAATTTCAGTGCCAATTGAAATGATTGAAGATTTTGAAATTTAACCAAAAATTTAAAAATATTTTTTTTGAAAAACTTAATGATTATTTTGAGTGCCTATATTTTGGGTGCAGGCCAGTTTACTTCAGCCCAATGTACCGCTGACATGAGCTATAACTTTGTTCAAAATTGTCGAATCCGTTGCGCCCTGGTATGGTCGATCCAGCTGGCCGAGCCGCATCGAATCATACCAAGGCGCCACGGATTCGACGATTTTTAACAAAGTTATAGCTCAGCGGTACATCGGGATGTGGTACACTGTAGTGATGTTCGGGAGAAGAAAAAACTCGGGAATCGGGAAACGGGAGTCGGGTCGGGAAATGACCTCGGGAGTCGGGATCGGGAGTCGGGAATTTACAATAAAAAAATTTTTGCCGCCTTCGGCGTCAAAAAATTCCGGTTTTTTGCATTGCAAGTGAAAATTATGAGAATTTTGAAAGGTTAAGAGGCCAGACATATTCCTTATTAGCGCCGCAGGCGAAATTTTTGAGCATTTTTCAAATTTTTCCTCGATCAGCGCCGAAGGCAAAAATTTTGAGAATTGTGGATGGCCAAGAAGCCAGAGTTCTTCTTTCCTCAGCGCCGCAGGCGAAAATTTTGAGAAATTTGGAAGGCTAAGAGCCCAGATATTCTTCATTTTCTGCGCTGAAGCGAAAATTTAAAAATTTGGTATGCTTTCTTCAATTTTTCTGCGCCGCGGACAGAAATTTATGAGAATCCATGACTAAATTAATTTTTAGAGTTTTTTCACTCTTTTATTAAAAAAAATTTGCAATTTTAAAATGAAAATCAAAGCTAAAAAAATTTATTTTTGAAAAAAGAGTCAATTAACTCACATTTCCCAACGCTGGACTCGAACCCAGCCCCATCAAAATACTTTAGTAAGTGAAGTCACTCAACCTAACCACTAAACCATCGATCTACAAGAGGTATATGGAAAAATTTTAAATATATTCTTCCCCTTCTTCTTTATTTATTTTCCCTTTCCTTTTTTTCTTTATTTTTTTCCTTTCAAAAATAGTAAAATTTTATCAAAAAAACCATTCTTAGGGGTGTAAAAATTTCCCGACTTAGTCGGGAATTTGTTATGTACGTGACTTGGATGTCGACGTACTAACAAGAATAAACACAAGATAAGACAGTAACTAACAAACTGTGCTTTATCTACAATACTAAATACAATAGGTTGCGAACAATAGAATATGGCTAAACGCCGAATACGTGGAGACAGAATAGAATAACAGAATAACACTGCGACAATAAGACTAAGACCTCGACTGAATAATAGGAAGGCTTTTATACTAAGCCGATACCCAACACCTCCCTCCTTTAATAAGAATAATTTCCTCTTGAATAAAATAATACTTTCGAATAATGTCTCCAAACAAACAAAAAATACATACAAAGGGGCAAAATTACAATAATTACAAAAGGGGGCAATACAAAAAAATACAAACAAACAAAATATTATCACAACAAAAAAATATTATCTCAAACCCTAAGCATCAATGCTAATACCGCTCATCTTTTCGTCTTCATTCTTCTCATCAACAGCCTTCGGCTCATCTCATCTTCGGAAAAATTTGAATTGGTTCCTCTCGATACCTTTTTTGAGTAGTATTCTCTACTACTAATCTTTTTGGTGGTCGAATTGTTCTTTTAGGTCTTTCGAATCGAATTTCATTATCTTTACTTTGAATATTACTCTTTTCATTTTGAATTGGAATATTTTGAATATTTTTATTCTGAATATGTTCTGGATTTTTCCACCAAAAATTTACTACTTGTTGGTTCTCAAAATTTTTTATTTTTCTTAATTGGTTTGCGTGTCGGTGAATAATAGCTCTTAATTTATCTGAGCGAATCTTGAATACGACACCATTTTTACTAATTATCTTTCCAGGCAGCCATTCAATTTTTTTATTTCTGTTGTAGTTTCCGAATAGAATATTATCTCCCACTTCGAATGCGTTTAATTTGGTTCCGTGATGTTTATCGAACCAATTTTTCATTTTATTTCGAATATCTTCTCTTTGAATGTTAATTGAATTTCCTGGTTTTTCTGGTTTGATTAATGCTAATTGAATTCGTAATTTCCTATTTAAGAATACTTCTGCTGGCGATTTTCCGCCTAATGAATAATGTGGGGTGGCTCTATAATTCAATAATACTTCTTGTAGCCAATTACTCTTCCCCCAATTTTTGTTCATCATTCTCTTAAAATAATCTACGAATCTCTCAGCTTGGCCATTAGACTGAGGATGATATGGTGGGCTGAATATTTGGTGAATTCCTTTACTAATACAATAATTTTTGAATTCGAATGACTGGAATGGACTTCCGTTATCGGATACAATTACTTTAGGAATTCCGTAATGCGAGAATAACCATTCCAGGTTTTTTATTGAATCTTTTGCTGACGTAGTCGTATTTCCGAATATTTCAGGCCATTTAGAATACGCATCGACTATAACCATATATAATTTTCCATCCTTACATGGACCAGCAAAATCAATATGAATTCTTTCCCAAGCTTCATTTGGTGCTGGCCATGGACTTAATTCTGTTTTAATTGGCCTTTTTGATGCCTTTTGGCATGAATCACAATTTGCAGCGATCTGCTCAATATCGATACTAATACCAGGCCAATAAATATATTCTCTGGCCAAATTTTTCATCCTAACAACTCCTGAATGTGTTGAATGTAATGAATCAAGAATCTTTTTCTGCAGTTTAGCAGGAATAACGACTTTATCTGCGAATAGAATACAACCATTAATTATCTGGAGGTTTTGTCTTCTTGTTGACCAAAATTTTAATTCAGAATCTTCAATATTCTTTGGCCAATTATTATTTCGAATATAATCTATGACTGTCTTTAATTTACTATCATTATCCGTTTCGATTTTTACTTGGTTACTATCGACTGGTAACTCTTCGAATAGAATATTTAATACGTAATTAACTGAATTCTCAACTTCATTTAATTCATCGGGCGGACCACTATCGAATTTATTAGAATCTGAGATTAAAGCAATAATTTTATCTTCATTTTCCGAATTTTTGCTAATTAATCTTGATAGGCTGTCTGCCATGCCCATTTTATCTGTCGTGACGAATTCTATACAGAAATCATAATTTGTAAGAATTAACGCCCATCTTTGTAATCTTGATGCCGTCTGAATTTTAATACCCTTTTTATTTCCGAATATAGCAAGTAATGGTTTATGGTCGGTTCTTAATTTGAATTTTCGACCGAATAACATTTTATGGAATTTTTGGACAGCGAATACTAATGCTAATGCTTCCTTTTCAATTTGTCCATAATTTTTCTCCGAATCGCTTAATGATTTACTGGCGTATTCGATTGCCTTTTTACTTCCGTCCGAATATTTATGGGAAATTACAGCTCCGACTCCATAATTGGAAGCATCCGCTGTAACAATAATTTCGAATTGCGGATCGAAATGCGTTAATAAGAGATCTGAACTCAGAATCGACTTAATTTGTTCGAATGCTTCTTCTTGTTCTTCCCATTTCCAAATTGAATTTTTTCTAAGTAATTTGTCTAATGGGCCTCTGAATTGGTGCATTTGATCTACAAACTTCGAATAATAATTTATTGTCCCCATAACTGACTTTAATTCTTTAATATTTTGAGGTCTTGGTAATTCCTGAATAATAGCCTTTTTCTTAGGGTCTGGCTTAATTCCTTCCGCGGAGACTATATGACCTAAGAATTTCAATTCAGGCTTAAAGAAGTTACATTTTTCTAATTGAATTTTTAATCCATATTTCTGGATTCTTTCGAATAACTGAATAAGAATTTTTTTATGTTCGGTTTCATTTTCCGAGGCAATAATCAAATCGTCTAAATAAGCGAATACTCCTTTTAATCCACTAATTAATTCATCCATTAATTTCTGGAATATTGCTGGTGCTGACTTAACTCCGAATGGTAATCGTTGTACTTCGAATAACCCTTTATGGGTATTAATATTTGCTAATTTCTTTGAATCTGAATCTAATTCGACTTGCAAATATGCGTCACGCAAGTCTAATTGCGAGAATATTTTATTTCCATGCATTTCAGACCAGATTTCTTGTGGTGTTGGCAATGGATATTTATTAAGCTCTAAGGCTTCATTTAATCCCGTCGAATAATCAATACAAACTCGAATTTTTCCATTTGCTTTTTTTACTGCAAGAATAGGAGCCGCCCAGTCAGCGAATTCAATAGGTCTAATAGCACCCAATTTTAATAGTCGATTAATTTCTTCTTCGACCGAATCTTTAACCCCAAGCGGTACTGGTCTTGCTCTAACAAAAACTGGTTTAGCTCCTGGTTTTAAGTGAAGATGAGCTTTCGTTTTGCTACAATGCCCCAGACCCTCTTCGAATACTTGACTGAATTTTACTTTTAATTCTGCCTGAATCTCTTCTTGAATATCCTTTTGAATTATATACAATTCTTTATTTTCACTAATACTCGGAATTATCTCTTTTTGAATGGAATTTCTTGAATTATCTGAATCCTTGTCGGATAGAGTTGTTACTATTGGATAACCGAATTTTTTCTCGAATGTGATTATCCAAGGTAATCCGAATAAATTCATTTTTTCTTTCGTTACATATACTAATAATATTTCCTCAAGTCCGTTTAGGATAATAGAGCAAAAGAATCTTCCAAGAATTCTGAATTCATCACCTGTATAGCTTTTACCCTTGAAGTTCACCTTTGTCAAGAATGGACTACCGACTTTTTTCCAAGTCTCCTCATTAATGCAACTAATTTGTGCTCCAGAATCAAGAATGAATTCAACTTTTTGCCCATTTAACAAAACCTCCTTTTTAATCCATTCGAATTTTTGCTCTGTAGAGACTGACAGTATTTCTGCCGAATAATTTTTGATTTCCGAATCTTTTTGAACTTCTGTTGCGCTACCCCATTCACGAATATAATTGAATAATTTTTTCATCCTTGACCAATACTTAAGAATAGGTTCGAATTAAATAACTGCGACCGCGCCACTGTTATGTACGTGACTTGGATGTCGACGTACTAACAAGAATAAACACAAGATAAGACAGTAACTAACAAACTGTGCTTTATCTACAATACTAAATACAATAGGTTGCGAACAATAGAATATGGCTAAACGCCGAATACGTGGAGACAGAATAGAATAACAGAATAACACTGCGACAATAAGACTAAGACCTCGACTGAATAATAGGAAGGCTTTTATACTAAGCCGATACCCAACAGGTGGGGTCGGGGTCGGGATCGGGAGGCCAAAAACTCGGGAAATTTCCCGAGTCGGGTGTCGGGAGTCGGGATACCCGAACATCACTAGTACACTGGGGTGTACCCCTATATTTTTTTAATGTAAAGATATATTTAATTATAGCTTGTAGTATAATCTTTTTTATATAATTTTTGAATTTGATAAAAAAATAAACGTTTTTTAATTAAATTTATTATTATGTTTTATTTTTTAAAAGGTTGTTTCCTCAACTTTATGTTTTTATTTTTTTTAATTTTCTAAAATTTATTTTTTTAATTGTTTAACTAGTTTTGTACTCCATTCTTATTGTTAGGCTTTGTAGATTGTTCTGCCTGTTGTTCTGTGTGCTTGAATCTCTTGGATCTTTCTCTCGGTAAGCCAATTTAAAGGAAATTTTAATTTGACCGCCGTTAGGTGTGTATAATATTTTCGCGTTTTGCGCAAGAACGCCAACAGCAAAGCGCCAAAATTCGAAAGTTAATTTAAAAGGCGAAAGACGAAACGTCAAAAAACGCGAAAATCCGCGTAAGGCGAAACTGGCACACCTCTAATAATTTATAAGTAGTTAATCTATAAGTAATTAATTAATCTTTATCATTTTATAAATACATATGGCATCATAAAATTAAAAAAAATTAAAGCTCTCAATATAAACTATAAATAACTCGTTCCATCTGTTCTATCAGTTTGTTCATCTTCTGCAATTATTCCTTCTCCATTACTCGATCTTCTACAAATTATTCCTTCTTCTTCATCCCCATCTAATCCAATTAAACAAAGTTTTGTAGTTATAGGACTTCCCCAACTACCTTCTCTAATTTTTTGTTGTTTTAATAAAGTTTCAGATTCATCACTTAACGATTCTAAACTAGCAATCTGTGCATCAATTGTTTCTTGTTCTGTATTATGCCCTCCACAAGTAGATAAAAGTTCTCCAGTTATTGTTGTACTTCGAACAAAAGTCATTTCTGCTATGGCACTTCCTCCTCCCCCTCCTTTTTTGGATTTGCCATTACGTCTGTCATTTTTGTCTCCATGTTTTGCTGAAAATTTTCTTATTATTTAGAGGATTGTATAATAAAATGGTTCTCGTGATTTGGTTATCTTTCTCTCCTAAAATCTATTTTTCTTGTAAAAGCGAGCTCCTTGATTTTTATGTTAGCCTTCAAAATTTTATTAAAGAAGTTGAATATTATTTTCAAATGATTCTCTTGAATTTTTTCTATTCTGCTAGATCAAATTTCTTGATTTTTATAGTAGCCCTCAAAATATTTTATTTTTTCCTAATATTTTTTTAATTCTCTTTCGACTATCACTCAACCTCGTAGGGACCAAAGAAAAGTATCGAGATTTTAAGAGGTTCATCAAATTTGAGGGTCATTATTTAGAGATTCGACTTAATTCCTCACCATTTAAAGGCGTATTAGATGCAGAAACTGAACGTCTCATCGTTCCACAAACATTATTAACATTGTTCCCAATTTTAGAATTTGTTGTTGTTGAAATTGTTCTTCTAGCTACAGATCTTTTAGGTAATTGAGAGGCATTTCGAAGAAATGAGCAAAATTTGCTTTTATTTACATAATAAGCCTTTAAAATTTTTAGTCATTAAAAATTTTTTTGACTAAAAAACTTACTCTAAGACAAGGAAATTTTTGCATAAATGTCACTCTATAATCACTAGAACAAACACAAAAAATATAAAATTGAGCTGCGTGGTTTGTAATTTCGAGTAAATTGGCGGCGGCGCGGAAAATCTGAAAGGCAGCAAATTTTCAAAATTAAAAAATTGTTTTTACCTGATAATCCGGCCTTTTCTTAACAACTTCATTAATAAATAACAAGTTTATAGCTGCAGGTATATTACAAACAAAAAACATAACTGCAATCCCTCCTAAAATATAAAGTAGGGTATCATCTCTAGCTGCTGTTTCTCGATTTCTTAGTCTATCAAACATTTTTTGACGTCGACGAAAAGCTATCATTATTTGAAAATTGAGCACAAAAAGGATAACAATTGGTAAAAAACGAAGAAATGCTTCTCGAGTCCATTTATAGACCTGAATGAGATTTGGGGAGATTTTTGAGGTTGATAGGAAATAGGTCTTTCTACCTGCCATCCAAAAGTTTTTGAAATTTCGCTGTCAATAGCACCATAAGATATTTCTCCACGTGAATTAATCTTTTCACTAACTGAATACCTTCCAATACCATATGGAATATAAAACAATGCTGGAACTGTATAAGCTATTATAATTGCCTTCATTGCACGTTTAGGAGAATTCCACATGCGAAAATGAAGAGGAAAGACAACTGATACGTAACGCTCCAAACTTAGAGCTACAACAATATAAACGCCTGTTGCTAATGCCCAATTTATGAACTGCAAAAAATTTTATTTTTTATCAAAATGTTTCCTTAATCTTTAAACTAACCGAAAGCATTACATGCGCTTGATAGAATCCATATAAGGGGTGCCGTTCAATAGGAACACCACTTTCTTTGAGCACCTCGCAGCAAGCAAAAGCTAGTACAAAAAGCATACATAAGAGGTCTGAGACGGCTAGAGCACGCAAATACCTAGATTTATATCATTATTTTAAAGGTCTTCTATTAGCTTTAGGGTTCGAGAAGTTTACTTATTTGATAGGGGCATAGGGCAGCTAAATATCCTCCTAATTTTAGGTTAGTCACCTACTTATAATAGCCCCCATAAATTTCTTGATATCCCCGATGTCCGTCGAAATCCTAATGGGGATTGTAAGACTTAATTGAGGCTTTGATTTGCAACAAGGTTTTGATTTGACTGATCTTTGGAGTTTTCTCATCATATCGGAAAATTTTTAAAATTTCGCGTTTCGAGTTTTGCTTTTTAAAAAATCTGTTTCGGCATGTTGTGAAGTCAGTTGTAGGTTTAATCTCTTAAAAAATTTTACATATAAGAAACAGCTTTCAATCTTGGACTAGCTAGTGTCACCACATTCATCGAATTCCCAATAATTCCTAGCACACAAATTGTCGGCATTATATAACAATAGGCAACAATATTAATATTTAATTTGGGAGATGGTGATGGTATTTGTGCTGTTTCTGAAATTAATGGGGTTGCTAATGTTGAAGTGAATATTGCTGAGGAAGAGGAGGATGTTGTTGTTGTTGGGATCATAGTAGAAGATAGTTGGGATAAGAAATCTTCATAATTTTCTATTGTTTCTGAGTCATTCATGTCCTCTACAAATAGGGAAAAATTTAGAGAAAAAATTTTTTTGGGGTTTGAAACCAAAAAACAGAAACCTAGCAATGTCTAAACAAATGTTTCTTTTTTGCTTCTTATTACTTTTTTTGGTTTTCTAAAATTGGAATTTTATCCTTATAAATCCTTTATTTAAACAATTAACCACTTATATGTTTCTTTTGTCTTGTCTTTATTTATAGCCTTAGGCTGTTTTAAACATTACTTAAATAGTCAAAGGATATTCAATCTTTGGCCCTAATAAATAATATTTATAATCATTTTTGGATTTTTAAAAATATTTTTTTAAAAAAATTTTTGGGAATGAACAAGCAAACGAGCACCCTTAAAAATAAATAAATAAGATGAATTTTGGAAAATGTCAGCCAGTAAAAAAAATTTAACTTTCTTTAGTAAAAATATTTTATAATGAAAGAAAAAAATAACACGCAAGCGCGAACGTCAATTGTCTTCTAATATTTTTGGTATGATTGTTTAGGTCCTAAATCCCGCTTCCATCCCCCTCCCCATCCCCGCTTCCCACCACCCACTCAATTGGGAAGAGTGTCCTTTTTACTCAATCTTTTTTTTTGTACTAAACGTTTTTGTGTTTGGATTTGAGTTTTTTGGGAGTAAGTCTAGAATTCCTATTCCGGAAGGAAAGGATAGGGAAAAGAATGGGAAAATAAAGAATAAATTGAACTAATGGATAAGAAAAGTTGAATAGTCCTCTGAATTTTTGACGGTTTTTTGTATATTTTTTCTCTTTAAAAAACTCAACTCTCTCGCTTTCTATAAAGTCCAAAAAATTTGAAAAGCTTTAAGTTTTTCTCATTAGCTTTTTTTGCATGGATTACTTTTGTTCTTTTTTTTTCGAGTTTTATGGAGGGGGATTTTGGGAAGTTTTTTTTATAAAAAATGGAAAGAGGGAAGGAATGCGCGTGCCTTTAAATCTGGGATTTTTAGAGGGATTTTCTTAGGAATTAAAAAAATTTTTTAGAAAATATTTCAGAGAATCGTACCTCTATTCTCTGAATCGTAGCTTTCAGAGAATAGTATTTACTCGATTAATTCCCCTCCCTCGAATAATTCCCCCTCTCGATTAATTCCCCATGCTAGTGTTGGGTTGAAACAATAATTTCCCACTCTCAAATACCTTACTGCACGTTCGAATGCCAAAACTCGAATAGTTCCCCTCCCTCGATTAATTCCCCATGCCAAGGAAGGGTTGAAAAAAATAATTCCCCAGGGGAATTAATAGAGAAAATACGGTATACTTACACTTGCTAAAATACCTATAATAAATTTAAATATTCCCCACAATTTTTAAGAAAAAAATGGCTGATGAAGAAGCTGAAGGAGTTGGATTGCCTCAAAAAGGATTAAATATGAGTAAGCTTAAATCGAAAACTTTCAAAAAACTGTAATAAAATTTTTTTAGTTATTAAAGATGCTCTTCCCGATATGCGCATTGCTAATGAAACGCGTGAAGTATTAAATCAATGTTGTGTTGAATTTATAAAGCACATTTCAAAAGAAGCACAAATGATCTCATCAAAGGATCAAAGAAAGACTATATACCATGATCACGTTCAAAAAGGTGGGTAGGGAAATTTTACAGTTGAATAAATAAAAAATTCCAAAAAATATTAAAATGGTAGAAAAAAGTTTATTTAGAAAGTGATTTTTATTTTAATTAAATTTTGAAAGGGAAGAGTCGAGAAGTGTCTAGTCAAAATTAATATAATAATTAATTGAGTGCCTAATCCTTTCAAAAAGGTGTTGCATAATTTTTTTAAAATTTTAATAATGAAAGGAAAGATTAATAAGTAAAGGAAAGACATTTCCGGATATTAGATTTAAGTGCAAAAAAGGTAGTTGGGAAAAGTAGAGGGAGAAGCTCTTTTATGGCCGCCACCCACATACCCAAATGGAAAAGGAAAATTTTAAATCTAAGGGATTAAGTATATTAATAGAGAGGATAAGCAAGAGAAAAATTAATATATTTTTATAATATTTTTGTGGGCTAACCATAGTAAGCATTTTGTGATTAGCACCACACGTAAATTTAGAAAATAACTTGAATTGTCTTTTACATTACCTATATGCGATTATAAAATAATATAAGGATTTAAGATTCTAATTATGGTTGTCAGCTCGCTCGAATCGAACTTGAAAGATCAAGCGGGCCGAGGCTTCTCATCTTGAAAACAAACCGAATCGAATAAAACCATGCTTGAAAAAATGCACCGAACGTCGGCTCGAATCGAAAACGGCAACCCTATTTCTAATATTAGTTTTAAGTCTAAAACTTTCCTAAGTTTAAGTTTAAATTTTAAACCTTTTTTAAGTTCAAGTTTTAAGTTAGTTAATTCTTTAATTTTAAGTTTAATCCTTGTCTTTTTTTGTTTTATTTTAAAAATTGTGCGCAAGCCATAAATAATTTAAAAAAAAATTTTATAAATGAAAACTAAAGATTAAAAAAAATTTTTTTCTCTTTTCTTCTTTTGAGAATTCGATCCGATTACTTTTTTTTCTTCTTCAAATCTCCTCCTACATAGAAACAATGTTTAAAATAACTCCCCTTCCCTCAAATGATGAAGTTTGACGTTAAAATCCCTTAGGGCTTTTTTACAATTGCTTGAAAGTTTCAAAAGCTTCACTTACTTTTTTGAGCAGATTGTTCTTTTTTTGTTAGTTGTTTAAAATTAGCAAAAAAAAGAATCAATCAAAGCCCCAAGAGATTTATTTATATTTTTATTTGCAAAAAGTTATAATTTTCCAAAAATAAATTAATTTATTTTAAAAAAGTGTTGGAAGTTTTTTTTGAAAAAAAGTGAGAGGATTTTAAAGAGATTAAAACAAGAGATTTATTGTTAAATATGTAATATGTTGTTAAATATGTATTTAGCTTCTCTTTAATTTTAGGAGTGCTGTTATTTTAAATTATTTTGAGAGGTTTTGTTAAATATGTATTTTAAGAAGTCTGATAGGAAGAATTTTTAAGAAATTTTAAGAAATTATGTTAAGAAATAAGGAAGACAGTTTTTTTAGAGCTTTAAATTTTAAAGCAGCCTAAAGCCCTAAAATCTAAGTATTGTGTGAATTTTGTTGGAGCTTCCCAATTTTTTGCGTAATTCCTAGCTTTACGATTTTTTTTATTTTAAGAGCTGTAATTTTAATTTTTATATATCCATCTACGTTTTTTTAATTAAATATTTTTTAAATTTTTTAAATTTTTATCCCCTTTTTTTAATTTAGAATGATGTAAAAATAGGTTTTTTCTGTCCACTTATAATAGAAAAAAAATAAAATTTTTAGAAATAAAAAATTTTTTTCGCGCTTTTCAAAGGAAAAAATTTTTGAATAAAAAAAGGAAAGTAAAAATTTAGTAGTTTTTTTTGAAATCATAAACGATATCCCCTCCTTTAACATAAAGAAAATTAGCTATAATTTTTTCTAAGAGAATGTGATACTCCGAGAATTTTTTAGAAAAAATAAAAGAAACAAAAAATTGAAATAAATAGAAGACGTCAGCCAATGAATAAAAAAATGATTTTTTAACACCCTCCTTTTTAAAAAAACTGATTTTTAAGAACTACTATTTTTAGGGGGATAAAAAAGAAAAAAAAAGGTAATTATATGTATATATTTTCCCAAAGGGGCATCATCATTAGCTTTAATTTTTGATTATGAGAGAATATTTTATTTTAAAAAAGAGAGAGAAGAGGATATGAGGGATGAGGACTGGTGTTTAAAAATAAAAAAACGGAAATAAAAATTGAAGTAAAATGTTATGGGGTGGTCTTCTAAGGCACGATTTCTGAAAATTGGGAATTTCTGACAGTTTTGGGTTGGGAGCCAGATTCTCGAAAGTTTAAATTTTCTAGGCAGTCCCGACTGTCGAAAATCGGGAAATTCTAATTTTATCTTGGCTTGTTTTCTGATAAAAAGGAGATAGGAGGGTTGGTGTTTAAATAGTAGAGGAAATAAAATAGTAAGGTCATTAGATCTGTATGTATTCCATGGAACGAGCCGTCCGATTTCCCAAAATTTAGAAGTTTTAAGTTCATGTTGTTAAAATAAAATTTATAAAAAGGGATTGAAACAAAGAAAAATTTGAAAAAAATTTTTAGGAAAAAAAATTATTAAAACTAGAAGATAATCTTAATAATTACTTATAATTTAAAATTAAAAAAAATTTTTTTTAATTTTTTTAGCATTAAAGAATCTTGGATTTCCGCGTGAATATGTTGATGCAGCAAATTCTGTTTTGGGTGAATGCAAAATCGCAGCAGAAAAACGTTTAAAACGAAAAAATTCTCGTTTGGATAAATGTGGTATTCCTGAGGAACAACTTTTAGAAATCCAGCAAAGACTTATTGAACAGGTGGGGGGAGAGATTTTTAATAATAAGAAAAAAAATTTTTTTGGGGTTTTGAAATTTGATATTTATTAAACTAACAAAAAAAATATTTGGACACTTGACTAGACTTTATATTTATTAGGCAAAAAAAAAGTTTTTTTTTGAGTTTGTTACAAAGTTAACTAGATAATAGGGGAACGGAAAGGAAAAATTTTTTTTAATATAAATAATTTATAATATGTTTTGTTTAGAATAATTATTTTTACTTTTATTTTGTCTGGGATAGTTATTTGCTAAAAGACTTTATTAATATATTTAATTAATGAAGTTTTTGTAAAAATAATTTTGGGAGATTTTTTTGTAAACATTTTTGGAGGGCAGCAAGGGATAACTTGTGGATAACTTACTTATGATAACGGGGGGCAGGGGGGGGGTTTTAACTTTTGTTGATGGTAACGGGGGGGGGGGCAACTTAAGGATGCTTTTTTTGTGATAATGCGGGGCAACTTGTGGATGACCCACCGTTCCCGTCCTATAGCAAAAGTCACCGCGTCAATCAACCAGGGGGAGGCTTCTTTAACTTTTGTTTGTAGTAACGGGGGACAGCTTAAGGATCATTTTTTGTGATAATAG